CATTTCAGGGAAAATATTGGATAAATCACTCCTCAAAAAATTTCCAGATATTCAAGATGAAAATTGATCCCATGCTGATAAACAGCATGTTATTCAGCAGAAGAGTCTTTTCTGGTCCCCAGCTTTGCCTGGACTTATTCAGAAGATGCAAAACTTAAATTCAATGGTCTTTAAATCTGCATAAACTGGAAGGAAAGAGCTTTCAATGCAAGAGAAATTTCTTGGATGGACTTTCTTTGCCATTCTATATTTATTAAATTTACATATAACTGAATTCGGTCATCTGAGCACAGATTTACTTACTCCCCGGGAGCTACTTACAACCTTCTGGGAGAGGCAATAAAGACATGGCTTGCGAGGCTGGCTACTGATGAATCTATTAAACAGGAATGCTATTCTCAATTTGTCAACTTAACCTAAGCTAGGAAGAAGATTTGCATCTTTAATTCTTCTAATTAATTAAATGAAGAAGTCATTTCACCAAGGAGTAAACAAAATAACTGAATGAAACAGACTTTAAATAAACCAACAATAATCAGGCAAGTTGGGCTGGAGCGATAGCAGGTAGGGCATTTGCCTTGCACTCAGCCAACATGGCTTACCGGAGTTTGATTCCTCTGCCCTTCTCAGAGAGCCCGGCAAGCTACTGAGAGTATCTCGCCCGCACAGCAAAGCCTGGCAAGCTACCCGTGACGTATTCGATATGCCAAACACAGTAACAATTGTCACAATGGAGACGTTACTGGGCCTGCTCGAGAAAATCGATGAACAACGGGAGAACAGTGACAGTGAATGAGGCAAGTTACGTGTGTAGGTTCTGCTTTGGATGAATGCAATGTCTGATTAGATTAAAATGTCACCTCCCTTATGTTTCCCTTTTCTTTCTCTTTTTTTATATATCTGAGTCCACATATACATGACACAGGCCAAATCATAGCTCTCAGCAGGCCTTCCCTGGAAACCCAGGGAGTACATCTAGGATCTATTCTCAGAGTAGCATTGCCACTCTGCAGCCTCTTCAAGTAATGAGTCTGGTCCTCTCAGTGGTTCTGATCTTGTACCAGGGGAAGGCAGATGTTCTGTCGCTGTGATTCACCCCTATGACCCTGTCTTGAAGCAGTTAATTGTTATTTCACTAATTTAAATTTGTGGAAGCTTGCACTAAATAACATTCCTGTAGCACCTTAGATGTACTCGTATAACCTAGTCTAACTTTAAAACTCTTAAACCCTCAAAACACCTCCCTTCCCAGGGGGTAAGGTGCCACCAGCAGGTCAATCTGTACCTGTGAAGTGTACAACAGCCTGATGGCACGTCAGACTTTCAGATACCCCAAAATTTCTGCTGTGCTTTTGGCCAGACTCCAAAAACTTGGGGCAAAGTTTACCAAGAAAGTAAACTGCCAAAAGTTAGGTATGTGGGAGATACACCCACAAACCACCTCCGTCTCAGCTATATAATTGGAAGCATGGCCTCTCTGGTTCCTGATCAAACTGCTTAACAGCCATGATCCCAGAGACTCAGAAACGAATCTCGGAACCCAAAGACTTTTGGCAGAAATGCGTCCTGTTCCTGCAGTAGGTTACTAGCGCTGGGCCACTTCAGGTGGGAATAGGTTTCATGCCTTGGCCTGTTCCCCCTGGTGGCCCAGTGACCACCATCCTCCAGAGGCCACAGGACAGTCAGGTTTGGGCTTGCAGTGACGAGACACATGGGGCCTCACCAGATGGGGGTGGAACCGGCCCTTTCCTCCCCATCCCAATGAGATCCCGAGTTGCCACCTACAAATGGCCTCTGGCTCCTAATCAAGCTGATTAAGAGACTCAGAAACAAATCTCGAAAACCAGCGGCTTTTGGCAGAAATGCATCTGGACGCATACAAGGTGGCTGCCACCTCAGAGCTTAATGGAAAGCCAGGTATGAGCTGGTGGTGATGGGGCAACTGCAGTCTCATGGGAAGGGGGACAATACCAGCTCGTCCTTCTCACCCTACCGAGGACACGAGTTGCCCCCCAGGAACGGCTCTCCGGCACGGCCATGACTTCGGAGGCAAAAGGACTTAATCCAGAGCCCAACAGCTTGCGGCAGAAAAGTGAATGGACCATGCGTTAAACTACGGTGCCATGCCTCCACGGGAGGGAAAGGGTGTTGCTCCCTTCGCCTTCTGTCCCCCCAACCCCCCAGCAGCAAGGTGGCCGCCGCCTCAGAGTTTATAGGAAAGCAAGGTATAGCCAGCAGTGATGGGGCAACTGCTGTCTCATGGGAAGGGGGGCGGTACTGGCTTGTCCTTCACGCCCTACCAAGCTCACGAGTTGCCCCCCAGGAGTGGCTCTCCAGCACAACCATAACACCAGACGCACAGAAACCAATCTTGTAATTATCTGGCTCTTTGCAGAAATTCAAAATCATTATATGATTCTCATAACCAGCTATAGAAAACAAAGTACTTCACAATGCCTTTTCAGCAATTCTGATTGTTGGGGGGGAAATTTTAAACAAGAACGGTGCATCTTTTGTCAAAATAATGAATGTAGTCAATGTAGAGAAAAGTTAAGTAGAAATCATTTGCCTTACAGGCATTGGGAGGGGGGTATATTGGGGTTCTTGGTGGTGAAAAATGAGTACTGGTGAAGGGAAAGGTGTTTGATCATTGTATGACCAAGACTTAAACCTGAAAGCTTTGTAACTTTTCCCACAGTTATTCAATAAATAAATATAAGAAGAAAAATATAAATAAAATTATGGAAAAAAGTAAGGTGGAGTTCATGCCCAATTCAATCAGCTAATCAGTGACTGAATAAATAGCAGTACTCCTACATAAAACAAAAACAAACAAAAAAAAAAAAACACTTCCCTTCACTCTCCAGTACTCCAATGGCAAGCAGCAGCTGAATGGGCAAGCTACTTCTTCCCATTCTAAAGACTTTTCTTGAGTACGTTGTTACATGCCAACCTAGCACTTCTTTAGTATGTTCATAAGAAAAGAAAAAGCCTGGTCAGATTAGTGTGATAAATTACCCCATAAATGCAGACTCTAAGACCTGGGCAGTATCCTGCATTAAGCAAGTTTAGGAAAAAGTCACAAGAGTCGCATATGTGGAGTAGAGGAGAAAACGTCCTGTGGGGTAAAGACCCAGGGAGTGTTCAGGCCTAACCAGGAAAGGCCCTGCTAGAGATTTCTGGCGAAAGCAGGGAAACAGCTTGCTAGGGAGAGCCCAAGCTAGACAGACTTACAGGGCATATAACACAGACAGCCTGGCAGGGAGACTTTTGGCAGAAAAGCAGATCATCCCTATAATCTCAAGGTTATTGTTTATCTGCCCCTGTGTCTCCTCCGTGCCACCTCTGCACAGACAGTTTATCCTTTGTTCTTTGTACTTTCTAACTCATTACTGATGGTGCACATAAGAGGGAGAAGGGAAATAGAAGCACCTCATAAAAAAGACCAAAGCAGGGCTGGAGCGAAAGCACCGCAGGTAGGGTATTTGCCTTGCACGCAGCCAACTCGGGTTCAATTCCCAGCATCCCATATGGTTCCCCTGAGCACCACCAGGAGTAATTCATGAGTGCATGAGCCAAGAATAACCCCTGAGTTTCGCCGGATATGACCCAAAAAAGCAAAAAAAAAAAAAAAAAAAGAATAAAAAGGCCAAAGAGCCCTTTGTGAGGGGCTTTGACCACCTAACAAGCCACAGCATTTGGCTCATTCTTGGTGACTGATTCTGCTGGATAGAGTCAAAGGTGTCACTGACTTTACTGTGGTGATCCCCACAGATCAGTCCAGGAAGAAGAAAAGGATTATAGTAACCAATTCAATGCACCCCCTTGGAAATCAGGAAAGTGCCCAACTTAACTAAGTAAGTTTATTGTGTCATTTTAGGGAGAGTTTAGGCACCAAACAAAAATAAAAATTTGGGGGAAAATTTAGAACTAGATTAAGATATATTTTCCCAAACTCTGGATAAGACATATCTTCTCAGATCCCTGGACCTGTGTTCAGGGATCACTCCTGCTATAGTAACTGATTTCAAGTTCTACATTTTGAAAATCAGAGTGAAAGTACAGAGGGCAGGGCACTTGCCTTGCATGTGGCTGACCCAAATTCAATCCCTGGCATCCCATATGGTGACCCAGCACTTCCAGTGCAGAACCAGAAGTAAGCTCTGAGTACCATTGGGGTGACCACCCTCCACACACACCAAATTGTGCATTTTTAAATCTAGGCAAAGACGTATTGATCAATGTTACACTTGTGCTTCAATCTCTCTTCTTTTTCAGCTTTTGAGTCACACCCAAGTGGTTCTAAAAGATCACTCCTGGTGGTACTCTGAGGACCATCTGTGGTGTCAGGAATCAAATCTGTGTCAGTCACAGGCAACTCAAAGGGCCTTCACCCCTGTACTGCTTCTTGACCCTCACAATCTTCCTTTGAGAAAGATTTGAGAAAAGGATCATAGGACTCAGTTCTCACTACTCAAATCTTGGCTGGAGCATGTAGAAATTAACTCGAATAACAAAGACTTGGTTACATGTGCTGCACATCACGGCCTCTTCCTCACCATACCCCCCTGCTCTCCCGCTCCTTACCCTAGGAGCTGCCATTCACACACGCGCTACTGCACGAGATACTTTACAAGTATTTCCCACCCTCTTAAAAACACTACAATGCACAAGATATTCTCATTTCACTGATGAAGAAGCTGAGGTTTCTGAAAGTTAAGTAATTTCCCCCAAATCATAAAGCATAGTGAGTGGGGAAATTCTATGCCTTTCCAAGTAGGTATATACATATAGCTACATGTGTTTTTCCTTATCATTCATCCAGATATCTACATAAAGATATTTATAGACTCTTTCCAGTTCAAGTCAGTGAAGACATCATTGTGTGTCTCAGAGCCCTAAGAGATATGCCTCCCCTGCCCTGCCTTGCCTAGCAGAGAAGACCTGGTGCCTGGCATCTATGCTTAAAGCAGAGGGCCTTTATGAATGCCTTCGTCTACCTGCAGAATTCTCCTTCTGATTCTGGCAGCAGAAGCGAGGCCATGGGGTTCTTCATCAGGGCGGCCACTGCAGGATCCTTGAGTGTCACATAGAAGAAAGGAATTCCAGTGCTGTTGTTCAAGGGACCATCACTCATGGGCTGGCAACTCCCAAACGGTAGTCCTGGCATCTAATCCATTAAATAAACAAACAAAAAAAGACAGAAAGAAAAGTCTTTTCAAAGCAGGGTTAGGAGTTTCCCTGAACAGGGAGGTTGGCTTGTGCCTCTGGCCAGGAAGCAAATCACTAGGAGGGACCCTGAGATCACCTTGGGGATGACAGGTAATAAGCTAGCACAAAAGGGTTCCCAGTGCTGGCTGTGGAATTTCCATGGATGAACATATCCATGGATTTCTCTCCCAAAGGGATATGAATGCATACTCTCTCCAAGTGACACCTGAACAAACTCAAACACACCTGCTTCTTCAGTTTAAAATTATTTAGGAGAGGAGCATTGAAATTTGTCAAAGGGTGGTAGGATGCCCAAGCTTTTCCACAAGTTGCCCTACAGATTTCCCCCTCTCTCCCTCCAGCCTTCACTCTCTCCCTTAAGTGTTTGCCAACTCTGGGAGAGAACTGAAGACTCAGCTTTAACAGTTCACCCTGTCTCGGGGACTTTGATCATTGTTTCTCTGAGGCCACACCATCCTCTTATTGATTAGCTACATATTTTTTTTTTACTGTGATCAATATTTCACTGTTTGTAGTCAGCAACTTATGGGAAGTTGGTGTCCTGCCCTCTTAGGTGATGGGATTCCGTGGAAACATGCTATACCAATTTCTGTTCATGATCATCCTGTAGCCTTGGGTGAGATTCCCAAACAGACACAAATTAGTCTCAGGTTTCCTGAGACCTGTTGAGTCCAACACACTATCCTCCACACCCTTTTTCCCAGGGCATTCCTCAGAAATCTCTCAGAAATCAGGAGCTGGTAGGTTTTTTTTTTTTTTTAGAAGTAGAGCTAACCTGTAGAGCTCTACCCTGTAGAGCACAAAACTGTGATGAGGAAGGACTTCAGCTCTACAGAAAGACTCCACATGCAGAAAGGGTATACAAGTACATTCAGAGTCTTACAGGAGCACAGTTATGGAATTCTCTAAAATGAGCATAAAAATGAGTTCAGAATCTTATAGACAACAATATAGAGTTCTCCAAAATGGGTAGACAAATACGTTCAGTCCTATAAGAACTTAATTATGGAATTCTCCATAGCAGTCATACAACTGTGTTCAGTCTCTTTTTTTTCGGCTTTTCATGAGCTGCCCTCTGCAGACAGAGCAAACGCATAAGTTATTCTCTGAATTTATTGACTTTAGGTAACTTTTTGACTTTGTGTTAATAGTATTGGAATGGGGAATTTCTACTAAGAAGAAATGACAAAATACTTTTGATATACCAGCACTAGACATTAATTGCTTGAAATCAGCTGAGTTTTAAACCAGTCCAACTTAATCTCTAAGTTTTGTATCTTGTTGATGTATTTCTTAGCAGTGTGAGATATGACTGTGAAAAACCTCTTGGATGTGGTCATACCCAGCAGACTCAATGATCTTCAATACCAATGTAGTGAAGATCATTGCCATGGGGCTGGAGCAATAGCATGGCAGGTAGGGCATTTGTCTTGCACGCAGCCAACCTGAGTTCGATCCTCAGCATCCCATATGGCCCCCCAAGCATCGCCAGGAAAAATTCCTAAGTGCAGAGCCACGTGTGACCCAATAAGTGGGGGAAAAATAAAAATCATCGCCACAACCAGAATAAAGTCATTTAAAGGTGTCGTAGGTCCAAAAGGACCATTAATGTGCCCTAGCCCACACTTAATTTCAGAGATGAGAAAAGCACACGAGAGCCCTGGCAGGGGCCTGGGACTTGTGAGGTGAGGTCTCCAGATTCTATAAAATATGCTTACACCTTTACAGAATAACTACATGTATAAAGAATTAAATATATGCCATAGAAAAATTATAGACTATTAATTAAAGTTCTCATGAAATAAGCAGGGGTTGAAGTGACATAGGGGTGTTACATCTTCCCCCCAGCATAGGGTCGAATTAGGTCTAACAGGTGAGTTAAATCTGAGTGGTAGTGCAGCTGCAGCTATCACTCACTCATACATGTTGCCCAATAAACCTCTCCAAAACAAAACAATCAAACAAACAAACAAACAAAAAAACCCGGGATTACATCCTTAAAATTAAAATCCCCATCGAACAAAACCGAGGTGGTATGTTTGGTATGTCTGGTGTCCGGGAAGTTCATTTATCTATTTGGATATGACAAAGGGCACTGATTTCCTAGGTCCCTTCTGTTCTCTAGGCGCTGGGTATCTGCTCCACCCCACCGCTGTCCTCTGCTGGGTCCTGCCTGTGCCCTCTGCTCGGCCCTGTGTGTGCTGTCTGCTTCATCCAGTCTGTGCTGCTTGCTCGGTCCCGTGTGTGCTGTCTATTCGGTCCCGTGTGTGCTGTCTGCTCAGTCCAATCTGTGCTGTCTGCTCGGTCCCGTGAGTGCTGTATGCTTGGTACCGTGTGTGCTGTCTATACGGTCCCGTGTGTGCTGTCTGGTCAGTCCAGACTGTGCTGTCTGCTCGGTCTCGTGAGTGCTGTCTGCTCGGTCCCGTGAGTACTGTCTGCTCGGTCCCAGTGAGTGCTGTCTACTCGGTCCCGTGTGTGCTGTCTGCTCGGTCCCGTGTGTGCTGTCTGGTCGGTCCAGCCTGTGCCGTCGGCTCAGTCGCGTCTGCACCGAGCGCTCTCAGGGTGGTGCTTCCACCCGCAGGCACCCAGAGGTGAAGCGCGACAGCTGCCCCTCCCCAGGGGCACACCACCTCTTGCCAGGCTCCATCCAAGGCACCGCCTGGTCGGATTGGGTTAGCACAGTCGGCGCTGGGGCCAAGGGGCCGCGCAGTCCTCTCCTCGCGTCCCCCAGCCCCAGGCTCGGGACCCCGCAGGCCCCGCAGCCCCCGGGGCCGCTCACCTTGTGGAGCGCCGAGACGGTGGCCAGGCAGCCCCAGGCGCTGGTGTGGGCCAGGAAGCGCGCGGTACCGGGGCGCGGCCGGGGGCCGCTGTCGCGCGCGTACGAGAACATCCCCGGAGGCGCGGGGCGCGGCCGGGCGCGGGCGGCGCTGGCCGGGGCGGCGGGCAGGTGCGCGTCCTCCTTGTGCGCCGAGGCCGGGAAGCGCCGCTGCCAGATGCTGCCCGGGTCCTCCAGCAGCGCGGGCAGCGCCTCCTCGGTGGACGCGCTGTCCAGGTCCTCGTCCACCTCGTTGGTGACGGCCCAGGACACCGAGCTGACGATCACGTAGCCCGCAGCCGGGGCCAGGAGGGCGCCGCAGCACAGCAGCCAGGCGAGACCGGTCCCCGGCCGCAGCGACATCTTGCAGACGGCGATTCCAGCCGCGGGGACCGCCAGCAGCGCGCCGCGACCGGAGAGGCGGCAGCGCCCCCGCGCGGCGCTGGCGGGGACCCCGCGCGCGTCCGACCGCCGCAGGATTCCGGGGCGCGGGCCCAGTCCCTCCCGAGCGCCGGCGCCGCCGCCGCGCACCCCGCGGAGAAGTTGGGGCTCCCGGAAGGAGCTGGGCTAGCAACTCCAACCGCCGGCTCGGGTTCTGCAGACCCACACTCAGCACACGCCTCCTCGGGCCCAGTCCCTGCAGCCCTCGGCGCCCGGACCCTTAGGAAAAGCTGATGCTGCAGAGCTAGCTCTGCGCGGCGGGGAAGGCGAGGGTCAGTGAGTGTCGGGAGAGCGGGAGAGGCGTGAGCAAGCGTCCTGGGAACACCCAGGTGGAGAAGGCTTCCTGGAGGAAAGTGAGCACACGGTGAAGGTAAACCCAGCATGAGCATCTCTAGTGCTACAGTCTGTCTTTTCTCCCTCTCCCTGTGGACGAGAGCCACTTTACGCACAGCTACAGGCGGGCATTGAGGCCAGCTCATCTGAAAGAACCGGGTCGTGCGTGTTTGCATATCAGTTCAGCATCCAGAGAGAATGTGGCCAGGATGGAGCAGGCAGAGAATTTTTCGACTGTGCCCCAATTTCAAAGAATTCTCTAGTTGGTGAAAATTTGGATTGTATCCAGGAACTGGGGCTTACTCTTGGCTCAGTGCTCAGGGATCAATCCTGGCGGTACTCGGGGGGGGGGGGGGGGGGGGGGGAGGGAGTAGTGTACCATATGGGATGCCCGGGATGGAACTGGGTGAAGAGTGGGTGCGAGGCAAGTGCTCTACCTGCTGTAGTCTCTCTCTCTCTCTCTCTCTCTCTCTCTCTCTCTCTCTCTCTCTCTCTCTCTCTCTCTCTCTCTCTCTCCCCTAAGAATAAAGTTGTAAGATATCAAAGTAATGTTACATTATTTTTCCTTGGTTGATGCTGCTGCCTGAGGACATTTCAGTTTTTGCGGAGCCAAGGACTCCTACAGTCTGCGTGCTCAGTGGGGCGGGTTGCATTCACCCAAGCAGAGGTTATGGAGATGCCTCTTGTCCTGCTGTTCCTACGGGAGTCTGGGAGCCACGTTACACTCTGCTGAGCCAGGTCCCAGGTATGCTGCACAGGTTTCTATGAGAAGATTTGTTTTGTTGTGTTCTCCAAGCCTTCTAAAATTTCCTGTTTTTAAGGGCAAATGAATTCAAGCATTTATTTTGCTTGCCGTCTATGCATTATATTGAAGGGTGTTCACATTTTTGTGGAGAGGAAATTGTTTTCTAGGGCAATTCTGGCTAATATGCCTCAAGTAAACATAGCATGGAAAAACATCATGACTTTGCAATCCTTCGAGAAACAAGCAGTCTAGGTACAATAATGAATATGTAAAATGACTGGTGCAGTGTTATGTGGACTCAGAATGGCTGGATCAGCCTGGCAAGACCTGAGCACTCTGATCAATCAATTCTTAACTTCATCAAAAGTGAGATAAAGTGCAATTTTAGTCATCTCAATTTGTGAAACAAAATACAATTTTAAAACTGACCTTTATCTCTCACAGTACTGAAGGTTGGGAAGTGGAAATTCCAAGTGCTGTAGGTTTGGTGTCTGCTGAGGGCTCCCTTTGTGCCTTATAGACTCTACTCCTGGGTGTTCTCCCCTCTTTTCTTCTAATAGGGACACCACACAAGCCTATTATGAGGAGCCCATTCTCATGACATGGTCTAGTTATCTCCCCCCAAGGTCCCACCTCCAAATACATCGCTGGCACCTAGGACTTCAGCAAGTGAACTGGGCATGGGGACACAAGCATTCAGCTATAACATTACAATGACGGTTGGTGTTTCCTCATGTGATATGAATTGCTCAGCACTATTGAGTGTTTTATACCCACATCCTGCAAATCCATCCTGAATTTATCCAGACCTCTAGCCCAGATGAGAGTAGTTACTCTCATAATAATCCATTTTCATGACTGACCTGTATGACACTGCCAACATCTAATCAATGAACATATTTTCATGAGAATCACCAACCTCTGCTTTGGGGTCTCAGACCTATCTCTTTCTCTCAGGGTCTGTCCGAGATGGTGTCTCCAGCTCTTCAAACCAATGTGGACTCTCCATTGGAACAAAATTATTTCTCTCTTATTAGTCTGTCTTGAGTCCACTAAATTGTTTGACCAATTGATAGAAACTGGAAGAGTAAAGGAAACACTTCTTCCCTGACCATCATCTTCTGGATAAGGACGGAGGCCTGGCAGAGAGCAGAGTGGATTCCTGTCTGTTTCCCCCTTCCCTGGAGTTATAGTCCTTAGGCTGTTCTGATTTGTGAGGTCTGTTAGATGACTCCCACCCCAAGTAGGTTCTGGTATTTGACTACTGCCCTCTTTACCCTTTATAGTTCAGTAAAACTGAAATTCAAAGTTGTGTAGCTTGGACAAATCTTGCTACATCCCACTTTCTCTTAGATTTTTATCAGTGAGTCTTTTGTACCACATCAATTTGTTACATATACAAAGGTATTTTATATTTTTCCCAGCATCTACAGTTGTTGTCACCTGTGTTAATTTGAATAAATGAATGTACCATATTTCTGGAAGCAAAAAATGAGTTTTATATCTCTCAACTATTTTAAGCTAATAGTCATGAATTTCAGAAGGAAGGACTTGAAATCAGGCTGGAGCGATAGCACAGCGAGTAGGGGTTTGCCTTGCACATGGCTGATTCGGGTTCAATTCCTCCATCCTTCTCGGAGAGCCCTGCAAGCTACCAAGAATATCTTGCCTGTACAGCAGAGCCTGGTAAGCTCCCCTTGGTGTATTCGATAGCCAAAAACAGTAACATGTCTCACAATGGAGATGTTACCGGTACCACTCGAGCAAATGATGCACAACGGGAGGACACTGCTACAGTGCTACAGTGCAGTCATTAATTGAAGGGAGAGGGGCTGGAGTGATAGTACAGCAGGTAGGGTGGTTGCTTTGCAGCAGATTCAATCCCCAACAGCTCATACTGTTCCCTGAGCTCTGCCAGGAGTGATTCCTGAGTGCAGATCCAGGAATAATCCCTGAGCATCACCAGGTGTGGCCCAAAATTCAAACACACACACACACACACACACACACACACACATGCTTTCCTTGCTAGCAGCAGACCCCAATTTAATTCCTAGCATAACATGTCCTCCCAAGTACAGAGCAGGAAATAGTCCCAAGCACTGCTCCCCAAGGCCCAAAGTAGCATCACCCCACCCCACTCCCTCACCCCCCGCCACACACACACACACACACACACACACACACAAATTAAGTTCATTATAGAAACAGAAGTTTGAAACATTTTGCTATACATTCTAGATCAAATATACATTTGGAAACCTATTTGCTTCTAGGATGTTAGTGGATTTCCAAGTTGTCCTCATCACAAGTGAAAATTTGTATTCCAAGAAGTGGCTGTAGCTGTCATTACCATCAATAAACATATGATATGTTTCTCTGTCTCTGAACCCTGCATGACAATCTTTTATTGACAATATACTTTAATGGATAGCATGTGCAGAAAAGCAATCAAGTAGAATGTAAACTTTGTGGCATCTTTCTACAAGGTGAGCATGCTGTTAGACCACTGCCCAGAACAATCCCTCCTCTCTCTTCCATTCCTAATAATCCTATATTACTTTTCTCTTTCCTTTATGTCATTTGCATGGTTTATTTAGTAATGTCCTTTCTGTATAGACACAGGAAGATAATTGATGTTATGCTTTGTAACATGGGAGTTAATTGGCTCCAAAATTATATCTACTCCTGGGCATCATATTTACTTGACTTAAGTCTCAGTTGCCCTTAGTTCCTAGCACTCTAAGAGCAGGATCCCAATGAGGGACTGGATTGGCCCAGGCCAAGATGTGACTAACCTGGCATTGAAATGGGCCAGGCCATGCACCATAATACTTAACTATAAGTTAAGAGCATGGTCATGGACAAACTCTGTCAGGACCCAAAAAGAAGTAACTGAATAAGGACCCTGCTGGAGTTAGTAAAGACTAACCTAACCTGGGGACTATGGCCTGGAATATATAGTGAGATGTCCTCAGGAAGAGCCAACCTTTAAGCTTAATATATCGCTGTTCATACAAAATGACATTGCTAGAAATACTATAAGAAGTAAATTTACTATGACTGTTTAAAAGGATTACTAGCTGAGGAAGGATAAAAGCAATATAGGATTATTAGTGCTGGATGGAATTGGGTGTGCCTCAGTTTCACTGTTGTGGGAGTGGCTCAATAAACCTTAAGATCCCTGTGGGAGGAGCAAGGACAACCCAATGTTATCCAACATCTACTATCTTTAATGGCAGAGTCTGCTGCCCCCAAGCCTGGCTGTCCTCACCAGGGTCCCTTGGAGGAGGGTGGGTTGAGTTTCCCTCTCCACCCCAAGCAGAGCCCCAGCAGCTGAAGACCTCCAGAACCCAGCCACAGCCATGCTTAAGACCATTCTCTACACGCTCGGACGAGCCTCACGCATGAAGGAACCTGCAGAGGAACCCAGGTGTGTGGGACCCGGGGCTGAGATTTCCAAGCCTGCTCAGATAAGGGTTGGACTTCCTCCACCCAGATCCCCCATCTTCCAGTAGCTAGACAGTTACACCCCCCAACTGCTCCCAGCACCTTGTAATCTCATCAATGGCCAAGATCTGATCATGATCATCCTTTAGTTTGTCGATTGCCTGGAGCAGGCACCAGTAACGTCTCCTTCGCCCTAGCCCTGAGATTTTAAAAAGTGCCATATTCAAGGCTCTTTCAGAGTTAGGAGAATGAGACCCATCATTGTTACTGGTATTTGGCATATTGGGTACACCACGGGGAGTTTGCCAGACTCTGCCGTGTGGGCAGGTTACATTCGGTAACCTGCCAGGTTGTCCAAAGTAAGAATGAGATAATAAGATGTCGCACAGCCGCACGCTATCCTTCCTCAGCTAGTAGAATCCTGGGTTTTATAGTCTCTGGGTCTTGGCCATTGGTGGGATTACACAGCAGAGGAACAAAGGCATGCGGGTCCCGGGGCTGAGATCTCCATGCCTGCTCGCATCGGGGCTGAGCATCCTCCACCCAGATCCTCCATCTTCCAGTAGGCAGGGGTCATACCCACCAACTGCCCCTGGCGCCATGTAATCCCATCAATGGCCAAGATCCAAAGACTGTAAAACCGAGCTCCTGGAAGTATGCACAGCCGCATTTGCTGCCGCTCAACCTCTTATTGTCTAGTTCTTGCTCTCAGAGAACCCAGCAGGCTACCTGGAGTACCTGCCTGCATGGCAGAGTCTAGCAAGCTCCCCATGGAGTATTCGATATGCCAAAACCCAGTAACAATGCTGGGTCTCATTCCCGTGACGCTGGAAGAGCCTCCAATGTGGCACTTGCTGAAATCTCAGGGCTAGGACGAATGGAGATGTTACTGGTGCCTACTCGAGGAAATCGATGAACAACTAGATAACAGTGATAGAGTGATACGATCTTTAATATCCGTGGGTGAACTTTTTCTTTTCTTTTCCTTTCTTCTGGGTGTTTTTTGGGCAACACCCTGCTGGATTCAGGATGTTATTTCTGGAAGTACTGGGGTAGGGGCATGCAGTCCTGAGAACTAAACCGGTGTTGGCCCCATGCAAGGCTTTGTCCTCTATTCTCTCCTCAAGGACAGTGAGTTCTCAGCTAGCTGCCAGCTAATTAATTTAGACCAAAATATACAAACCAAATGAACCATTCATAGACTGATCTCACTGATGTCTTTGTTGTTTACCTGGTTGGCTACAGGTCTGCATACATGCCAGCAAAAAAGAAATATGCAGTCACTGAACAGTGTGCCAAGGAATGTTGATGAGCTTCTTTTCTAAATGACTACTGCTAGATAGCTTAAGAAATGTGATCCTACCTCAGGGGCAGCAGAGATGGCTCAGCAGGTTGAAGTGCATTGTCTGCATATAGAGAACATGCTGGAGATTGAATCCAAGCCTCCCCCACCCTAAGCTCTAGCCCTTCGAGCCGTCTCCCCAGTCCCTGATTTCCTATACAATATTAGATCAATAAATGCTTTATATTGTTTTCACTTGTATTAGAAATCTTTATTTTCCCCCCTTCCCCTCTCTTTGTTGTTGTCCTTATTGCTGTGGTAAGGGGATCACACACTTGATTGACATGTCACGCTGTGCACAAGAGATCCCAACAGCTGTGATGCTGGGATCATATTCAACTGTGTTGGGATTCTGGGGAATCAACCTGGTGGTCTCATGCCCACAAGACAGGGTTTGATCACTGAGCCACACATCCCTGGGCTGGGGATCAGAAATCATGTTAAGCATAGGTTGCTAAAAATGTCATTAAAAGTTGACTGGAGAAATAGCTCTACAAGCTGAGTGTTGAGTACAGAGCACAGAGTCTGGAGTAGCTCTTGAATACCACTCAGAGTGTCCCCAAAACAAACAAAAATTAGAAAAATATAATCGAATTTGTTAAGGTAAATCTTGTTTAACAACAAAGTATTCTTAATTTCAAAATTTTAAAGTGTTGTGCAACAGAGAGGGGAAATGAAAGGTAACTTATAGTTGTTTGAAGTGGTCTTGTCTTCTAACAATACTACAGACCTGGTGACATTCAAAACTGAGCCTCACTTGAAGAGTTTGTGATGGTAAACCAAAGTCTTTGGGTGGATTTAATGCTTCTAACAATGGGATCAAATGACACTTTTTTTTAATTCCACTTTGTTTGAGTAAAGGTAAAGGCCCTCCCGTTGATCGTCGATTTGCTCGAGCGGGCCCAGTAACGTCTCCATTGGAGACTTTGTTGTTACTGTGTCTGGCATATCGAATACTCTCAGTAGCTTGCCGGGCTCTCCGAGAGGGGTGGAGGAATCGAACTCGGGTCGGCCATGTTGGCCGCTTGTAAGGCGAACGCCCTACCGCTGTGCTATCGCTCCAGCCCAGCGGGTAGGGCGTTCGCCTTACACGCGGCCAACATGGCCGACCCGAGTTCGATTCCTCCGCCCCTCTCGGAGAGCCCGGCAAGCTACCGAGAGTATTCGATATGCCAGACACAGTAACAACAAAGTCTCCAATGGAGACGTTACTGGGCCCGCTCGAGCAAATCGACGATCAACGGGAGGGCCTTTACCTTACCTTTACATTGTTTGAGTGGCTCTGTTTATTCCATTTCCACTGTAGTATTACCAAAGGGAAGAAAAGTATTACCACTGGGCTTTCACTGATTGTGCCATTTGGATTCATTAAATTTTATCTTTCTCTTGAGACCTATCCATTTCCTGACTCCCAACAAGATTTCTCAAATTTATCTTCTGAGATGTCTTCATAAAGAAATACTTGGAAAGTCCCCAAAGAAAAACAACAGAGTCAGAAAACTATTCTCCACATCTATTTATACATTTCACCAAAATCAACTCTGTGAAATACATATAAAGAAAAAAACAATGCTATACCTATTATATACATAAAACCTTCCTTATCCTCCAAATAAAAGCTTTAGCATGTAATATATTTTTTCAGAATGAAAAAAATTGTTTTTTTCTTGTTCTACCCAAATCAAAGCCTTACACATTAGCATTGTTACCCCTGAATTAAATGTTCTCAGAGTTTTGGGGTATATCTGATATGTGAATCACAAATCTTTGTCCATCTCTGAGGGTTACAAGAGCTTCTTGTCCCACAGGAAGGCTGAGTTTGATGTTGCTTGAAGTGGACTTGTCTTCTAACAATACTTGGATGAGCTGTGAGACAGAAATGTTTAAAAGGAAAAGGTGAAAAAAGAAAATTTTTATTATTCCTTGTTGTGGAACCCATTTTTAAAAATTTATTTACTTTATTTGGGGGGAAGGAATCTGAGCCACCTGTGGCTGGGCTCAGGGGTCATTCCAGGAGGTACTTAAAAAACATGATTAAAACAGGGTACGCCCTATGCAAGGCAAGCACCTTAAACCCTATACTAACTCTCTAGCTTGACCTGTGTTGTTTGAATTCTTCCACACCTTAGTCCCTGCCCTAGATGTTAAATGGGAAGTGGTGCATTTATTCTTACTACAGGAGATCTGAACTTCTCAGGGAGAATACTCAGAATCTGGTGATTACATCACATAAGGAACCTTAAGCCATAACTGGGGTGGGAGAGTGGGGTTCTAGGGAGTGGGCAGCTGGGTTGACTTTAGAAAAGGGAAGGGGCATGAAGTATATGTGTGACACAGAGAGCAAGTCAGTACTCCTCTACCGAGGCCTTTGAAAAGGCCAATCATCTTGGAACTCAGCAGCTTTTGGCAGAAATGCGTACAGTTCCTTCAGTTACCAGTGTTGGGCCACCCCAGGTGGGAATAGGGTTTGTGCCTTGGCCTGTTCCCCCTGGCGGCCTGCCATCCTCCAGAGGCCACTGGACAGTGAGGTTTGGGCCCACAGTGACAAGACACATGGGGCCTCACAGGATGGGGGTAGGGCCCACCCTTTCCTTCCCACCCCATGCCCTTTCCTCCCCTCCCCAAGTTGCTGCCCACAAATGGCCTCTCTGGCTTCTGATCAAGGTGCTTAATGGCCATGATCCCAGAGACTCAGAAACAAATCTCGGAACCCAGTGGTTTTTGGCAGAAATACGTCTGGAGCCCACAATAGGTTACTGTCGCCAGGCCACCCCAGTAAAGAAAGGGTGCTGTCCCTCTGTCTGCTCCCCCTTGGCCGTTTGGTGGCCGCCATCCTCCAGAGGCCATTGGACAGTCAGGTTTGGGTCCTCAGTGACAAGACACGTGGGGCCTCACAGGATGGGGGTGGAGCCGGCCCTTTCCTCCACCCTTTCCTCCTCCCAACAAGACCCTGAGTTGCCGCCCATGAATGGACTCTCTGGCTCCTGATCAAGCTGCTTAATGGCCATGATCCCAGAGACTCAGGAACAAATCTTGGAACCCAGCAGGTTTTGGCAAGAAATCCCTCCAGATTTAATTGTTAAAAATTCGAAATTTCAAAATCGCATGGCCACTACTGCAGCCGCACGACATCATATGTTATTCATAACCAGCAATAGAAAACAAATTGTCTACTGTTGCCTTTTCGGCAGATCTGAGTGTTGGGTTAAAATCCCAAATAATAATGGAGGGTCTGGTGTCAAAATATTGAATGTAATCAAAGTAGAGAGAGAGTAATATGGAAATCATCTGCCCCACAGGAATGGGGAGGGTGTGGAATGGGGGTATACTTGGGTTTTTGGTGGTGGAGAATGGGCACTGGTGAAGGTACAGGTGTTTCATTGTATGACTGAGACTTAAACCCAAAAGCTTTGTAACTGCTCTCATGGTGATTCAATAAATAAAATTATAAAAAAATGAAAAAACTAAAAAGGCCAATCAGCAGGGAGAGCTGAGGTGGAAACTGTGTGTCTGGGTCTCTTTGGGGCTGTGCTCATCACTTTGATTGCTACCCGCTGGATATCAAACCCCATATTTTCAGCTGACTTCAAGGCTGTACAAGAATCCTGCCTTCTGTCCCTCAGATAAGGTTAGTGTCTGCTTTATCAGTAGATAAAAGGGACAGGGGGCATAGGAATGTGAAAATAATCAAGGTTAGTGGAATATGCTTTACGTTGTCCTCAAAAAACCATGAACAGAAATGTCTACCAATGAGCTAGGTTCACTTAGTCAGGAGCATCTTTGAGGAGACAATTGTTGGCCTTAAGTATTTCCATTTGTACTTAGTGTTTCTCTTCCTTTAATCTTCTAAATGTACCCAACCCTCACAAAATCCCCCCCCCCCCCCCCGCCAAGTTTTTCTTCAAAATATAGACCAGGGAGATATTACAGCAGAAGGCATTTGCCTTTCATGCAGTCAACCCAGATTTGATCCCTGGCATCTCATATGGTTGCCTGATCCCATTAGGAGTGATTTCTCAGTGTGGAGCCAGGATTAATTCCAGAGCACTGCTGGGGTGTGGTGCACACCCCCCAAAAAACAAGCAAGCAAACAAACAAAATATAGGGGAGAAGGATGTTGGATAAATTTTAACAAAAGAAAATCCTGTTTGTTATAACAATGAAGCTAATATGACTTGAATCAAATTTTCATACCTTGATAAATTAGGAGTATGATGTTTGCCTTTAAAATTAAAGACCGTAAAAAATTAAATTAAAGACCATTCATTGCATTATTGGCAACCACACTCATATTTGATTGTTAATTATGGATGAGTTACTGAGAAATGTTGAAATTGTACACATAGAGTTGGCATGAAGTGTATCATATTATGTAATTATGTGGAGTACTGAGTTCATTTTTCATTATTTATGTGTTGAACAACTTACTTTGGAATAGTTTGAGTTAAATTAACATTTGATTGGGCAGTAAAAAATCTGGGAGATTTGCATATTTTGATATTAGTTCATATGCCTGATCTCCAATAAATCTGAGCAAGTCTCCATTAGAGAAGTAAGGACTCTCATTTTCCCTTGAGCTCTGGGGTCCTGAGTAGCTGACAAACCCTGATCAGAGTTCTTTTCAGGATCTTTCTTTTGTTCTTGGTCTTATTTCACGAATAACACCCCTTCACCTCCCACTCCACTCACCCCACAGACTTTTTTTAAAAACTTTTATTAGTGAAACACCATGAGGTACAGTTGTAGACTTACAAATTTTTGTGCTTAGGCTTCAGTTATACAATGCTCGAGTACCCATCCCTCCACCAGTGCCCATTCTCCACCACCTCTGATCCCAGTATCCCTCCCACCCCCCCAACCCCCCATCCCACCCTGCCTCTGTGGCAGGGCATTCCCTTTTGGTCTCTCTCTCCTTTTGGGTGCTGTGATTTGCAAAAGAGGCATTGAGTGGCAATCATATTTGGTCTATAGTCTATTTTCAACATGCATCTCCCATACTGGGAGGATCCTCCCAACACCCTTTATTTAGTGCTCCCTTATCTATTTGAGCTGCCTCTTCCCCTAGCATGTACAGCTGGCCTCCAAGCCATGGAGTAAACCTCTTGGTACCTATCTCAGCTAATCTTGGGTGTTAGTCTCCTGTTTTGTTACTTTATGTTACCCAGATGAATGCAATCTTTCTATGTCTGTCGTCTGTCCCTCTCTTTCTTTTTTTTGTAGATTTACAATTTTTTGTGCTTGGGTTTCGATTATACAATGATCAAATACCGATCCCTCCATCAGTGCCCATTTTCCACCACCATGGATAATATCCCTCCCACCCCCCACCCCCATCCCACCCTGCCTCTGTGGCAGGGCATTCCCTTTTGTTCTCTCTCTCCTTTTGGGTGTTGTGGTCTGCAAAAGAGGCATTGAGTGGCAAACATGTTCAGTCCATAGTCTACTTTCAACATGCATCTCCCATCCTGGGAGAATCCTCCAAACACACTTTATTTGGTGCTCCCTTCTCTATTTGAGCTGCCCTTTCCCCTAGAATGCCCGGCTGGCCTCTAAGCTATGGAGTAATCCTCCTGGTGCTGATCTCAGCTATTCTTGGATATTAATCTCATATTTTGTTACCTTATATCCCCCAGATGAATGCAATCTTTCTATGTCTATCCCTCTCTTTCTGACTCATTTCGCTTAGCATGATACTTTCCATGTTGTACCACTTGTATGTAAATTTCATGACTTCATCTTTTCTAACAGCTACATAGTACTCCACTGTGTAGATGTACCAAACTTTCTTGAACCAGTCATCTGTTCTTGGGCACTTAGGTTTCTTCCAGTTTCTGGCTATTGTAAAGAGTGCTGCAATGAACAAACAAGTACAGATGTCACTTTGACTATACATTTTTGCCTCTCTGGGATATATTCCCAGGAGTGAAATTGCTGGGTCAAATGGGAGCTCAATTTCTAATTTTTTGAGAATCGTCCATACTGTTTTCCAAAAGGGTTGAACCAGTTGGCATTCCCACCAACAGTGAAGGAGTGTCCCTTTCTCGCCACATCCGCGCCAGCATAGGTTGCTTTTGTTCTTTTGAATGTGGGCCAGTCTCTGAGATGTGAGATGGTATCTCATTGTGGTTTTGATCTGCATCTCCCTGATGATTAATAATGTAGAGCATTTTCTCATGTGCTTTTTTGCCATTCGGATTTCTTCTTTGATAAAGTTTCTGTTCATTTCATTGCCCCATTTTTTTGATGGGGTTGAATGTTTTCTTCTTGTGGAGTTCAACCAGTACTTTGTATATCCTGGATATCAACCCCTTGTCAGATGTGTATTCAGCGAATATCCTTTCCCATTCTGTAGTCTGTCTTTGTATTTTGGTCACTGTTTCTTTGGAGGTGCTTAACCCTTCTTGTCCACCCCTCTCCACTCCTCTCCCTTCCAATATTTTGATGAAGATACACAAAAAAGAACTTTGAATGCACTTAAGAAAAGTATATTTCTGACCCTTTCTAAATTTGACCACCACCATCACCTCATGAGAAAACATTTTTCTTCTCTCAAAAAAATGGGGGGGTTGTGCTCGCTTCAGCAGCACATATACTAAAATTGGAATGATACAGAGATTAGCATGGCCCTGTGCAAGTATGAAACACAATTGGTGAAGCGTTCCATATTTTCAAAAAAAGGGGGGGTTCTTCTTCACTGTACAGTTTGTGTCACTTATTAGGAGTTTTTTTTTGCTATACTTAAATCTTTTACTGCAGTTCTGACCTAAGGTGAAAAACTCTATGATGGTTTTTAAAAGAAGAGAATTTAATAACACTATTGTTTTTCACTTTGTTCTTGAACACATCTTTAATTTTACTATTTGGGTTGTTGTTAAAATGTGGAAGAGCGACAGATGGGTTCTAGTACTGAAATGCTGACTTGGTTTGTTGATAGGTGTAGGGCAGAGCTAAATTGTTCAGAGAACTGAGCTGCACAGATGTGCTGCTGAATGGGGCATTAACTGGCCACAGATGGACACAGAGTGTGTGCTTTCTGTTGATGAGGAGGGCAAGTGCTCAGAAATGAATACAATGAAAATTAGAGGAGTGGAACTTTTTGGTGTTGGAAAGTCATTATAGCTAATTCAGCAGGCATGCAGAAACAGAAGCAGGTTTAATTAATCTTGAATACATATTACCTTGGAGTAGCTGACATTTATCTGCTCTTATTGCTTTATTATGTTGCTCAATTAAGTACTTAATATCTTCTCTATTATTGCCACAAATGAAATATAGGTCAAACCCCATAGCAATGAACTTTGTAGGAGTTAGGGATTGGAGAAGAGAGTGTTATGGAAAGGTGCTCAGTGGGGAAGGCTGTAAAGGAGAAATGATAATGATGAGTAGTGGTTATGAGTGTTTGCTATTTTCTAGAATCTTTATAATGATTTCCCTATTTAAACCTCATAACAGGTCTACAGAATTATGTACTATTATTCCTGTTTTGTAGATATAGTAACTTGTCCAAGATTCTTACTAACAAGTAAAAGATGTAGAATTTGAATGCAGGAAGTTATGTACTGTATCTACTTATTCCCCCCCCCCCCCCGCAATTAGGCTTGAATATTTCAAAATTTACTTCTAACTTGATTCCTTGAGAATGAAAGTACATGAAAGCATACTTTGGGGAAACAAAGAGGGTTAAGAGGGTGATCTGTGGAGGTTTGAGTTCCTGCCTGCTAGTCACTAGACAAGGTGGCTGAGGGAATGATGTCTAAGCTGATAACACTTCTTACTGGATTTCTGCAGGGAACCATCTCTGCTCTTCACATTCCCTTTCCTTCTGAGTCCAGAGTTCAAAATTTACTCCTACTTACTGTAGTGACAGAGGAATGCTAAGGCTCAGGTAGTCAACCACAAGCATGCCGAAAGAATGTGTGGATTATTTTGAACTAAAGCTGTGTGAGAAACAGTCAGTACAGAAAGAACAAGAAGGCTCTTCTCTAACCACCTTCCTGCGTCAGGAAGCAGAGTGGGCTCAGGTCCCACAGGCTGAGTAAACAAACTCCAGGACATCCCTGCTCCTTCCTACACCAGACAAGTCTCTTTGATGGGTCAATTCCTCACAAATGCAATTGTTTCTTTGTCATAAAGGTTCATATGAACTTGTTATTTTGGTCATTGTGCTGGTTCCATATGTATGGGACCTTTGTCAATGAAGGGAAATTTGTTTTTCTCGTTAATCTGCCTTGTGGCTTACTTAAACTAGTCAGAAGAATTTAGCTGGGAAAGAAGAGAAGATGTTAGAGATCCTGGTGTGTGTGTGTGTGTGTGTGTGTGTGTGTGTGTGTGTGTGTGTGTGTGTGAGCTAGAGAGGGAGAGAGAGAGAGAGAGAGAGAGAGAGAGAGAGAGAGAGAGAGAGAGAGAGAGAGAGAGCACACCCTCAAACCCTCAACCATGGACACAGGAGGCCCTGACTTGGGTTCAGTATTTCGCTGTCTCATGTCTTGTCAGACAGGTCAGTTTCTCTACACCTACAGGTCTGGGCTTTGTGGCCTCAGCAACAGCTGGCAAAACAAATTTACCATTACAAGGAAAATAAAGGGTCAATACCAGTAGGGACTCTGTAAACCTGAGGCATGCATTTCTTTTGCTCACCATCAGAGCATTTTTGTCCAGCACAAAATGTTTCTCAGAGATGTGCTCTGTTACAGTTTAGACATGCTTGCTGTGCTTTGGAGAAATGGAATGAGGGTTTGTTAGGAAGGAAATATCCTGGGTGGGTGTGATAGTACAGCCAGTAGTATGTTTGTTTTGTACATGTCTGATCTGAGTTCAATCCCTGGAATCCCATATGGTTTCTTAAACCTGCCGGGAGTGATTCCTGAGTGGAGAGCCAGGAATAACCACAAAGCACCACTGGGTGTAGACCAAAGAAAAGAAAGAAAAAAGAAAAAAATGAAATATTTATGGAAGTTTCTAGTGATTTCCAGGCATGGGTCATGCACAGCATCAGGCAGTGCCTTATTCCCATGATCAGAGCCATGATGAGCCCAGGCGGAGGACACCCCTTTTCAATGGTCACTACTATATATTCAAATAAAGTTTTTCATGGTGCCATATTTTTATCTATGTCTATATTTATATATATGCAAAGGAGCTAAACTTTCAAATGTTTGTGTGAATTTTAGAAATGAGTACTAAGAGCACTCCTGGGATCTTTTTGAATCAGCTCACTCACTTCCCTAGCTTCACTGAAGGTGTTTATGTTGTTTCCTGCCTAACCTGGCCCATCTGCACAGCATTCAACAGCCAGGCCTTTGACCTCTCAATCTCTGTCCTGCTCTCAGGACAGAGACTTCCCTCCTCTGATCTACAAGGAGAAGGGAGCACTTGAGGTCAGGAGGTGTAAGCGCCAGTTTCTCTTCCTCTGTTTACTTGTGCACCTCATTTAGCTCTCTGAGCCTGTTTCCTCATTCATGCAATGAAAATAACACTCTGCAAGGTTATAGGACTTTAAGGATATAGATATGCGGTATTAGATAAACAGCATAGTTTTATATCTTTCAAGAAACAACCCTGGGGCTGGAGTGATATTACAGTGGGTAGAGTGTTTGCCTTGCATGCGGCCAACCTGGGTTCAATTCCCAGCATCCCGTATGGTCCCCTGAGCACCGCCAGAAGTAATTCCTGAGTGCAAAGCCAGGAATAACCCCTGCGCATTGCCAGGTGTGACCCAAAAAGCAAAAAAAAAAAAAAAAAAGAAAAGAAAAGAAGGAAAGAAACAGCCCTGCTTCCATCTTTTTAAAAATCCTTCTTTTTCTAACTATTCAATAATCCCTTTTATTGAATGCAGAGGCATTTCAGCACATACTGCTCAGATGAACAGTTAGTAGGAAGCTATTGCTCACTTAGTCTAACCATGCCAGTTAGGCTCTGGGAAGACAAGACTGAGTTTTCTACATCTCCAAACATTCTAGGTGAGTGTCCAACTGACCAGAGCTCACAGGTAAGTTATTAGAATCACTTCAGCCAAATTGCTGAAAACCAAGATTCCATGAAACCCCTTTCTTGTTGTTTGAACACCAGGAAATGGGGTGGGAACAGGCCCATGTCTTTACCTTATTGCCTGTGGCCATGTCTGTGAGGAAGCCCAGGACCCTGAGTGTCATGCTGCTCTCGCCCACGGGACACTGGCTCTGGCTCACATGCTTCAGCGTCACCTGGGGCAGGTCCAGGCTCGAGTTGGTGTTCTCCTGAGTGGGCGAAGAGTCTGGAGGGTGGAAGAGTGCCTGATCTGGCTGGATGAGAAGCTGGTCAGCTGGGAGCCCTTCCTTGAGTTGTCCCACATCTACCTCTTCCTCCTCTTCCTCTTCCTCTTCCATGTATGACTGAAGAATATGAATCACGTATTCCAGAAGCAGCAAATGAAATAGATGCCAGGAGCCTACATTTAAAGAAAAACACCCAAATGGTTAGAGAATAGATAAACTGAGAGAGATGGGTAGACACACAGATGGACACTGATAAATCACTGAGAAAGTGGCAATATTTCTGGGCCTTTATGTCCTCGGAAACCTTCCATGTACAGAGAACCAAGGGCACCCACTACAGAAGTCTCTGGTCAGAAAGAACTGGCAGGTTGGGCCTGGAAAATAACTTAAACTGAAGGAGAGTGAAATATGAACCCCTAAATGTGCCACTCTGAGGGGTGAAGGCAGTTGGAATAGAGAAGAGATCACTAAGAAAATGATGGTTGGAGGAATTCGTTGGAATGGGAGATGTGTGCTGAAAGTAGATAAAGGACCAAACATGATAACCTCTCATTATCTGTACTGAAAACTACAATACCCAAAAGTAGAGAGTGAGTATGGGGAATATTGTCTACTATGGAAGTATTGGGAGGGTTAGAAAGGGAGGAGATACTGGGGATATTAGTGGTGGGGAATGTGCACTGGTGGAGGAATGGGTGTTTGATTATTGTGTGATTGTAGCTCAAACATGAAAGCTTGTAACTATATCTCATGGTGATTCAATAAAATAAAATTTTAAAAAAATGTTCTGCTCTGCCATACCAACTACTTTAGCAATACTTGGGAAATTGCCAATGATACTTGGAGAAGGTGATTCTACCTTGTCCTCATGTCCTTAAGATCCTGCAGGCAATAACCATCCTGGGTGAAATATCCCATCCCTGCACCTGAGCTGAGAAGTGGGATTGACATATCTCGTTATCTCACAACTTTCTACCCTAAGCCAAAAGTTCTTTGTCTTGTCAAATTGTGACAGGGTTATTTATTTATTTATAAAAAGCATAAAGACTTGCTGCCTAGGTCTCTTCTTTGAGCCTCCTATCTTTGGGAATTAAACTTGATTTTCTTTTGTGTTTGTGTATGGGTCACACCCAGTGGTGGTTCAGGGCTAATCCTGGTCCTCATTTGGGGGAAGTTATTCCCTTTGGGGTTCAGGGTACAAGGGCTTAAACCCATATCTCTTGCATGCCAAGCACACTCTCAGCCTGTTGAGCTCTCCCTCCAAACTTTGATCTTCATTTCTTCCTATTAACCTATGTTACGTCAACTGAAGTGTGAAAGCAGCCAAAAGACTCAACTAGTGCAGATATGAGAGACACCTCACTCAGAGGCAGGATGCTGACCCCCAAACTTCTGTGACTGGCATCCAGGCAAGGGGTGTAAAGAGGTCTGGGCTGTACTTCTGATGCTGGAGTGGAGAATACTTCCCTGTGGCTCTGTGTGTGTGTGGCAGCAGATAAGGAAGGGGGATAACCCCCATCTCTCACAGAGACTGTAGCAATCCCCATTGGGGATACTGTGCAAGAGGTAAGCAGATACTGATTTGCCAAATCTTTTCTCTACCCTAAAGGAAGAGGGTAACTGATGTTCTGTGAAGAAGCAGAGAGGGAGAGCTGTCCTATTGCAACCATTAAAGGTAATTTTAACAGAAGGCTTAGGAGGGGCATACGGTGCTGGGGATGTAAGCACATTTTACTGCTATCTCCACTCCCAGAGATTAAAAAACAAATGTTCAATGACAGTAAAACCACAACTCATCTACCTAAGAAACTAACACTTGGCAAATATTTTATGTTTCTAAAATTTTTATATAATCTATCAATTAATGAGATATCTAACAAGATAGTGCCACACAGTTAAAGGACAATTCAAAACAATAAACTCAAAATAATATTACATGTTGTCTACAATATGTAAACAGTAGCTGACGTTGATTTATAAAAAAATGCAAAGTGAGTCTGTGATCATTGTACCCACTTCACACAGCTAGTCTGCATTTCTGTGCAAGAGGAGAATCTGTTGCATCATTATCAATGTGCTCCAACTGGCACAGTGGTAAACACTAAAGGGACATGATAAGTAGAGATGACCCAGAAAGGAGTACAGGAACTTTCTGACCATTTCAAAATCTTGACAATTATCACCATTTTCTCATGGATTTGAGGGGAGAGACTGGTTCTGCTGGAGGGCAAGGATAAAACAGTCTTGAATATTCTAAATTTTTTAAATTTATTTTTAAAAAATTTAAATATTCTAAATTTATATTTTATATATTATATTTATATATTAAAAATCTAGAATAGGTCTTACCAACAACTCTGGGAGCAAATTCCAGGTATAGATTTAACTTTGAGGAACCAGGGCCTAATTTAGACAAAAGGATTCTTGCTGTTGATAGTTTGATCTCCCCTGAACATACAGAGAAGGCAGCAGGGTAAAGCAAACACAGGTCCTGGGCTGGATTTCTTCTGGGGACTGCATATAAACTGTGCATTACCACTTTGTTCTAGAAGAGCACTAGCATAAGCAGTCCTGTTGGAGGAAGGCCCTACTACAAATGGGGATCTCTTACATGATGGCTTGTAGCAGCAATTGGCAAAGGAGATCCGGGATACTGGCAAAAATGGATTTAAATAGGTTTGCCTTCTCTTCCTTGTCCCACATCCCCACTATTAAAGCATCTGGAGCAATCTGCAGTAGTAATTTCTCATCCTGGGAAGATGAGAGCTCGGGGAGGTAGAGTTTCTTCCATGGTTATATTTCTAGTAACCAGGACAATGCCCACCACTTTGTAGCAACACACTAAATACCCGTTCATTGGGATAGAAAGGTCAAAGGTCATCTTCCCACCCACAACTGTTTTCTGCTACTTCTGTGACACAGATGTCAGAGACAGCCTTCCTCATCAGAGGGAGACAGTTTGACTAGAAATTGTGCAATGCAGAAAAGAACATCACTCTTCCCAGCATCTGGATATAATGGCAACTTTGCCAGTGATCATTCCTGAATGTTAAATATGTGAGGGCTAGAAAGAATCCTTCTGTTCTCCAGCTCAGTGGTCTTCTTTGGGGCTCTTTCTCAAAATGTGACAAAGCACTGAAGGGGAGAAGAATCGGTTGTTGAGGACCCAAGTTGAAAACACCCACAAACCTCTAACAGCCCCTCCACTAGTTATCTCATAACTAGATTCTGATGTGAACTGCATGGAGCTAGCATTAGTGACTGTTGCAGGAACTGTGGGAACCACCTGCCACGATGGAAAGGACCTCAGGGCTCAGAACAGGAGGCAACATCCTCTAACAGGTCTTGATTCATCACCTGGAAACAGGAAGCACCAGGGGCACTGCCAGGAAGGGACCTAAAGTCAACCAGCTATGGGCACCCTTCGGCTGCTGGATTTGTCTGTGGCAACCCAGGATACTGGTCCCTCTTAATAGCCAATAACCCCAGCTGCAGACTATGAGGAAAGTAACCTCGTTGGGTTGCTCTCGCCCCTCTGTCCCACACTCCAGCACCATTTCCAATGGAGTCTCTGATTTTGTCAGTAAGTACATGTCTGCTCAGAGATCTTTCCTGAGATATAGCCATGATCAGTGGCCTCTGGTCACAACATGTGCCACTTTGGCACATGTTTTGTGTTGTTTCACAAAATATGTTTTGGTTTTTGAGTCACCTTCAGAGGTGTTCAGGGACTGTTCCCTGCTTGGTACTTGAAGACCACTACTGGTGGTACTCAGGGTAGTCATACTAATTTGAGCATGAGGATTGTTTGTACCAAAGACAATCAAGTACCAGCAGGTTCAGAAAAATGTTTTTCTCTCCCTTAACTACCTACAAAAACATACAAAAGGGTTCCTGACCTAGAAAAAGAGCCATTAACGGAAACAGCTTTGCATTTGTATGACCTATGGGCTCAGCAAAACAGGCATCTAATCACCAAACATCTGCTCTTCTTGAACCAGATGAATTACCCACTCCCTGTTGGTAAATCACTCCCTTATCCCTTTCCTCGGAGGACATATAAGTCACTTGATTCTCAACTGCCTTATTTACTATGGGGACTTCAATCTTTGGGACCCCTATATTTAATGTAATACTTTGATTTTTCTCCTGTTAATTGGTATAATACCAATTTAATTTTTAGACTATCCAGAGAACCCAGAAGGGTAGTGAAATAAATATATTTCCTCCTTTATATGCTAATTACAAATATTAAAGGAAACTTCTATATACCCAATGGTGATGGAATAAGAAAGACATGGTGTGTCTCTTAGATGAATGATCACATCACTTTTTAAACAAACTGTAATGAACAGAGATGTGGCTCAGTGATGGGGCATATGCCTCCCCTGGGTGAGGCCCTGCGTTCGATTCCCAGCACTGCATCTCACACTCCAGACACTCAGGTATAGCCTTTACAGCCCTAGCATGAGGAACTAAAAACCAAAAAGATTATTAAGGTTTTATGTTATATTTTAAGTAAAAAGAGTAAAAGAGACAAAGATATTCTACTTGGTGATGTGGAAAATACTTGTACAATAGTAACTCCATGAAAAGGTAGAATATAAACTGGTTGGCATTCACTGACTTACCAAAACTCTCCCTGTGGCAGAGAGTCATGGCTTTGCTCACAGTGGTGAGAAGGAAATTCCATCTTAGCTGAAAGCTGGCAGCCAGCTTGATGAAATCCTCTTTGCTTCTGCTAGGCTAGAACATATTTGTAAGGAGAAAAAACAAGTTGGGTTTAATGATAAAATCAAGAGGAAGAATATGTTTCAAGTGTACATATGTACCATGCAGACATTGTCAAGTAACTCAGTAAAGTGGGGATGGGAGATGAAATGATAGGACAAGAGTGTGGCCTACTACAAAAGGCACATGAAAAAATGCTATATATCACTAATCATCAGGGAGATACAAATCAAAACAACAATGAGACATCATCTCACACTACAGAGACTGGCACACATCAAAAAGAATAAGAACAACCAGTGCTGGATGTGGGGAGAAAAAGACTCTCTCATTGTTGATGGGAATGCAAACTAGTCCAGCCTTTCTGGAAAACAATATGGGTATTCCTCAAAAAATTAGAAATTGAGTTTCCATATGATCCAGCAATACTACTTCTGGGAATATATCCCAGTGGTGCAACATAGTACAGTAGAAATGACATCTGAACCTGTATGTTCATTGCTGCACTGTTCACAATAACCAGAATCTGGAAACAACCTGAGTGCCCAAGAAAGATGACTGGTCGAAGAAACTTTGGTACATCTACACAATGGAATACTATGCAGCTCTTAGGAAAGATGAAGTCATGAAATTTTCTTATAAATGGATGTACATAGATAGTATCATGCTAAGTAAAATGAGTCAGAAAATAGAGGGACAGACATAGAATTACTGCACTCACAGTGACACAGAGACATAGAACTACTGGAATATAAAAATAACATAATGTGAGACTAACACCCAAGGACAGTAGAGACAAGGGCCAGGAAGGTTGCTCCATGTTTGGAAACCAGCATCATGAACTGGGGGAGAAGGCAGCTGGGATAGAGAAGGTATCACTAAGTCAATGATGATTGGAGGGATTTCTTGGGATGGGAGATGTGTTCTGAAAGTAGACAAAGGGCCAAACATGACGGCCTCTTAGTTTCTTTATTTCAAACCATAATGCCCCAAAGTAGAGAGAGAGAAAGAAGTAAATTGTCTGCCACAGAAGCAGGGTGTGGTATGAGATGGGGGTGGTGGGAAGGATATTGGGGATATTGTTGGTGGAAAATATACACTGGTGGAGGGATGGGCATTTGATCATTGTATGACTGAAACTTAAAGATGAAATCTTTGTGACTATCTCATGGAGATTCAATGAAAAAATAACAATGAAATAAAAAAATTAAAAAGTTAATTTAAAAAAACAATGTGATCTACAAGAGTATGTGAGGAGTGAAGGGCACAGGTAAAGGGATATATCTGATAACCTTTCATTATCTGTATTGTGCGCCATAAGGCCCAAAAGGAAAGAGATTGAGTGGGAAAAGAGAGAGAGAGAGAGAGAGAGAGAGAGAGAGAGAGAGAGATGAAAAGTGCCTGCCATAATGGCAGGTGGTGGAACAGGTGGTGGGGCAGGAGGGAAACTGGAAATTGGTCGTGGGAAATGTACACTGGTGAAGGGATGAGTGTTGGAACATTATATGACTGAAATTCAATCATGAACAACTTTGTAAATGTGTATATCACTGTGATTCAATTAAAGAAATAAAAAAGTGGCTTTCTCTGTTCTTGCTTCCTGGCCTGGGGAAGAGGATTCCAGGGTGGAGCCCTTTGATTTCTGTATTGCAAACCATAATGCCCCAAAGTAAAGAGAGAGTAAGAAGGAAATTGTCTGCCATAGAGGCAGGGGTTAGGGTGGGATGGGGGTGGTGGGAGGGATATTGGGAACATTGGCGGTAAAAAAACGTACACTGGTGGAGGGATGGGTGTTCGATCATTGTATGACTGAAACTCAAACATAAAAGCTTTGTAACTGTATCTCATGGTGATACATGGTGGGGAGAAGGTGGAAGGAGGTGAGAAACTAGTCTTCTTCACTTTTTCTAATTCCACGTTATTAAAAAAATAATAAAAACAACAGGCAGTTACTTAAAAGTCAAATTAGGCAAAAGAAGCATGGAATTCCAGATGATGAAAAGTGGTGGTGCTTCTGCTGGAGAGCATCTGGCTTGTGAGCCATCATAGGGCCAGAAGGCCTAGCACCACAAGGCAGCAAGGAGTCACTCCTCTGGCACAGACACAGAGAGGAGCCCTGTCTCCACTGAAAGCAGCCTAGAGCCTCTCCCGCTGAAGCCCCAATCAGCACAGCCAATGCCGGCTGGACTGTCTCTTGTGGCCCTTCTAAGTCCCCCTCGAGCTGTTGGTCTGAATTGATGAAGGACAGGCTGCCACTGCCAAGATGAGATGCCTTCTCCCATTTTGGAATTTTCTCTTCCCATCTGCCCCCAGTGAATCAAAGGATTGTCCTGAGCTTTGTTAGGTGTGAATTCCCTTCCTAGCAGCTTCCCCTCCCCTCAGCTTCTGACCACCAGACCTGTGGCTCCCAGGAGGGGCCCACTGCTCACCAACATGCAGATGAACTCTAAAAGTGTCCTAAAGACACTGAAAAGTTCTGGCCCTGTGCTCTGGGTAGATGTGAGCCAAGAAGACTTTCAGATGTGAGCCATGGCTGTGGCTGAGCTTTTGTCCCTTCCACCGGGGACCCATAGCAGACAGGAGCCAGGTGCAGAGTCCATGGGATTCAGATGAGCCTCCCGCTTGCTAGCACACTGCCCGCTGCCAGACATAGGAGCCTTCAGTCAGCCCTGACAAGTTCAAGGTGTTGATTTCCACAGTCTGACTGTTCTATGGACAACAGTCAGCTTTTAATCAGGCCAATGCTTTCACATACACATGTCCTTCAAAGGCACACAGTTACAAAAAACACAGTTTTGTGAGTAAGTCACATTTGTGAAGGGTGCAGACATGACAACCTTCAGCTTGTCTCCTTCAGCAGACCCAGGACGTGGTGTTTCTGCCAGTGGGTGGTTTCAGTCATGCACCATGGTGCAGGTGCACAGGTATAAAGTTGTACAGGTGTAAAGATACACAGGTGTAAAAGCTACACAGGATGTAAAGATACACAAGTGTAAAGGTGCACAGGTGTAAAGGTGCACAGGTATAAAGGTGCACAGGTGTAAAAGTGGGCGTGCCCAACTTGCTTTGACCCTCTCTACCCTGCACTTCTGCTTCAGAGCCTGCTCCCTCCCTTGGCTTTTCCTAATTTCTTATCTTCAGAGGAAGCCTCATATAAGATGAAAGCCTGGCTGCCTTGCATGGTCTAAGGTCTCTTGCACACTCCCAGTTCCCTTGCACACCATGGGCCCACGGAGCAAAAGTGTTGCGGCTTTCTCTAAGGGCATTCGTGGGAATTAATGCAGTCTGTTAAAATGAAGGTGCAAGGTTATAAGGGCGCAGCCGGCATGCTGAGTAAGGAAATCACCGCCAAGCCCAGCAGTGCTTGCACGCCTAGATCAAGTAGGGAGTTGGTTCCCTGCCCCTGTAGAAGGAGGCGGCTCCTCGGCTCCCAGCAACCGCTCAGCCAATGAGACAGTGAGAGCAACAGATCAGCCAATGAAAGAAGCGCCATAAGACAAAGGCTGAGACACCATCCTCCTAGTGAACTCTCAGTTCTCTCCAAAAGAACCCCTGAATTGTAGCAATCCCTCCAGAAACTACACAGACTGGCTCTGCCTTTTCAACGGGGGAAAGGTGGGGTGTCTGCCCAGCAGACTGCACTACCCAAATGGCATTTCTGTGTTGCTTCCAATAAATCCATCTTGTTGGTGTCACAGTTGTGGCTTTTTGTTTGAGATCAACAATGGTCGGCTCTAAAAGTGTGACTGCGGAAGCAGATGACAAAAACCAGGCCCAGAAATCCCAGTGTAATGACTTGTGAGAGGCATGTCACTCAGAAAGATCAAATCTATCAACATGCGGGACTGGAGTGATACTACAGAGGGTAGGGTGTTTGCTTTACACACGGCTGATCTAAGCTCCATTCCTGGCATCCCATATGTTCCCTCTCCCCCCCCCACCCCCGCAATCACTGACAGGAGTCATTCCTGAGTGCAGAGCCAGGAGTAAACCCTGAGCATTGCAGGGTGTGGCCCCCCAAAAATAAACAAAAATTGACCCACATCTGAAACCAGTTCACCTTAGATTTTGTGAGCTCGAGCCTGACAGTTCACAGGCACTTTCTGCAAATTATCCAGAAAAGCACTGTTCACTCCCAGAGTCAAAACTCCTCCTCCTCTTCAGGGATCCACTCTGTTCACATAACTTTTATGAAGCTGCTCCCTTGCACTTACATATACCCCTACCCTATATGGACACACACTAACTTCTGCACGCCCACACAGTGATTGTACATGTACATACAGTCAATTGGCACATACGCACTCACCTGAGCACAAATACCCAGGCACATATGTGCTCACCTGTAAACACACACAGTACACATGCATGACAGGTGATTTCTGCAGACATTCCTTCTCAGCCATACCAGTCTTGATATATTTCTAACTTGAGAAAACTCTAGAGAAAATTCTTATTTATTCCAGTAGATAATGGACACTCTGTGCCACAATTTAGCTATTATGATCTATACTACACTCTTTTTTTCCTTTCAAAAAAATTTACGACAGGCTGGAGAGATCTTACAGTGGATAGGGCATTTGCCTTGCACAAGGTTTGATTTCCAGCATGCCATATGGGTCCCCAAGCCTGCCAAAGGTGATTCCTAAATGCAGAGCCAGGAGTAATCCCAGAGCACTGCCAGGTGTGACCTAAACTGCCCTCATGCCCGTTAAAGGAAGAAAGAATCCTTTGTGGCTTTGTACCTGGAAGACAAAAGCTTGGAGATTTGCAGACAGACAGTTCAGGAATATGCTGAGATCTGCTGTTGTCCCCAACAAAGAAATTAAAGTGCTCAGGCCTATAAAAAAACAAACAAATAAAAAGATGGTAAACTCTTCTGCAGGTATTTGTATACTGTATAACCTAGGGGACAACAGATGAATAATAGTTCAAAGGAATTCCCTGGGGCTGAGCACACAAAGGAAGCATTCTTGGGTTGGAGTCACTTCTGAGGTCATCACCTCTTCATCATCACTTCACCACAGTCTCACCTCTTTAGAACCACCTCTGCCCTTTGTTAAAATGGAAAGAAATGTTTTGAAACAACTCCACCTGGTAATTATGTAGAACCTGACTTCAGATGAGCTCATGGCACAATACAGACATGACTTCACCTATCCTTGCCATTTCCTAAAAGGGGGAGGTTTATGAATATCCCTTAATGGGTGGTGGCCATCAAAAGCACTGGGAGACATGAAGTGTTTTGCCTGGGGTCAGAGACGCAGTGAGGACAGACCCAAAGGGTGAAACCGTGGCTCCTGGGTCCTTGATTTTCCACCTGAACAGTCAATGCAGGAACAAGGAACAACCCTGCCATCTTTCACTGCTGTCATGGACCATGAGGAGATTACAGAATCCAGCAGGATGTGTCCAGACATTGAGTCACAATTCATGTAGACGATCTTTCAGATGTATCTTAAGCACTGCCTTCCCGGTGTCAGCAGAGGACACCAGTGTGCTGTCTTCTTGCTAGCTCAGCCACATACAGATATGTCAGTAGAGCACATAAGTTCTAGGCAGGCTGACAGGAAAATGGGCGAATGGGTCATGCCTCCCTGGGGCTTCCTGGATTGGATTCAGATGGGTTAGACATTTGTGTTGAGTTTCTGAGGGCACCAGTGGTGTGAAAAGGGGACCTCAGATTAAGTGACACTGCTCTTCAAGCTCTGAAGATTGTTAGGCTGGGAACTCACCTTCAGAGGCCAGTGTGTATGGCTAAGGGAATACTTCAGGGGAAGATCTGGGATTTGAAAGGGGCAGGCAACTGGAGCAGGGGAGATAAGGAATGCGGTCAATAAAACAGAAGCTCTTTACCAAAAAAAATTAACATTTCATATTTTATCACAGATGCAATCTTACCAAAGTCAGTCCTGCTTAAAGTCAAAGAGGACAGGGGAACTGATGGGTGCTGCTGTTGTGTATAGCACCGACATGGACACATGCAGATGTGAAATTGTGAAGTTACCCCACAAGCAGAGCTGGGTCAGGGAATTTCTGATGTAGAGGGCTCAGCTGTCACCTGAGGAAGGCACAGGTGTATGAGGTGCATCACACACAGATACGTGCATGCCATTGAGCAGAATTAGATCCATGGAAAAAAGAAATGACTTGATCTTTCCAGGGCACAAAAGTGACCGGGTACAAACAGTGTGGCCCTAGGTTCCCAGGAGGAACCTCACACAGGGGTCTGTAGATTGGCCCGCAATCTGTGGAAGGGTCAGACACCGGCTCCCACATTTGTTCAGAGAGGGGAAGATCTTCCCTCTCTCCAATGACTTGCCTGGGAAGTGACCACATTGACAGTCAACTTGATGTAGGCAGGCAGGCAGATAGGGAAGGCCCCCTCCCAAGGCAACAGCAGTAAATGTCCTGGGAAGTAATAGCCCTGATCTCATGGAGAACTGGTGTCAGTGACAGTCCTTAACAGACCCTGAGGAGGCTGGACCGTTACAGAAATGACAGAAGCAGAGATAGAGACCAATTAAGGACCTGAAAATGATTCATCAGCAATTCCAAGTTGTTTCTTTGACACCTGACCAACCCCCTTTGACAGAAGCTCCTGCTAAAACAAAAGGCCAGGAAAGGAATTTCAAAGAAGACCATCACCACTCCCAATCCCCCTAGACAACCTCCTTAGCAGTGGACTTTTACCTAGGTCATGGGGGCAGGTTGGAGAAACCCTTTAAAGGCCTCCTTGAACAAAGGTAGCCTTTGTCTATACTGCCTAAGCCTTTGTGCTGCTTGTGCCCACGCTGCCAAGCATAACGTGCTACCAGAGCACATTTGTCACACTCATCTCCCCTCTTGAGATGTGGACTTTCATGCTTCCATGCCTAATGCTGGGATGTGTGTAGGGGCTCTCTCAGCCCTTGGAGAAGCCCGGGTTATTTCTTGAGCATGTTACTCTCTACTCTCTCCCATTTTCTCTTCCTCCTTCCCTTCAAAACCTCCAAATAAAATCTGTTTTACTTCACTGCTTGTCTACTCCTGAAATTTTTTTCTGTGAGGCAAGACAAGAGCCCAGTAACCCTGGGTCTTGGGTGGCAGAGGCGAATGGGGACCTGAGTATTGTTGAGTGGGCCCCAAAATTAACAAACAAAAATAGTGATTAGATAGAACAGGGTAAGAATATTGACCATGCTTAATTCAATTGTTTGTAAAGGAGTAAAATCACCAAGGTTAAAATTTTGTGCTGTGAGAAATTAACACGAACATGACGCCTTTGGGCTACACTAGCACACGACAGGGATGAATGGAGACGTTATGGCACCCACTTGAGCAAATCCATAAGTAATAGGATGTCAAGTGATCAAGTGATCAAGTGAGAAATTAACATGATATGAGACAAATCTCTTTGGCAACAAATCAGCAAGGTGGAACGCTGACTCACTTCTGTTCAGACAGAATCTGCTGCCGCTGTGTATGGAGAAAATGGACCCTGAAGGAGAAGCTCCAGGGAGAAGATCTTCCCCTCTCTGAACAAATGTGGGAGTCGGTGTCTGACCCTTTCCCAGATTGCAGGCCAATCTACAGACCCTTGTGTGAGGGTCCTCCTGGGAACCTAGGGCCACAGTTAGCACCTGGTTCTACCAATACTTGTGCCCTGGAAAGGTTGAGTCATTTCTTTTCTCCATGAATCTAATTCTGCTCAATGGCATGCATGTATCTGTGTGTGATGCATCTCATGCATCTGTGTGTTCCTCAGGTGACAGCTGAGCCCTCTACATCAGAATCAAATATTGTTATGACTTTATTACTGTTACTGCGAGCACACTCACCTGTCCTTTCACCCAACAGATCTGCATTAGCTCTGACAGACCAGGCAAGGCCACACACCCGCATGCAGGAAGAGATGTGTCAGATATAAGGTAAAGTTTTATAAAGAACTTTGCACATCAATGGTGACCATGCCAGCCCAGGGATTTACCAAACGCTCCAGTAAAGCAAGCTGAGAAGGAAGATTACATTTTGTCTCTGTGTCGTCTTCCACCTCTTCCATGCTGCTCTGGTCACTGGGCTGAGGTGTCTTAGAAATATCCCAAGTGTTTTGACTAATGATGGCATAGAGATCAGACTTCAGAATGCTGACTCTTCTGTTATTTCTCAAAACCATTTTCATAGTCTAGAGATAGTGGGGGAAGCATAAAACATACACCATTGAAGATTATTTTATTGTGCCCAACCCCTTTACAAATCAAGGTTACTTATTTATTCTTGGGTCATGAATAGCGTCAAGAATAGGTCATGCCCTGAGCACACAGTTGCAGACAGTGAAGAAGAAGCCCCAACCGAGTCCTGCAGAGCTGACACTGACTTGGAGCGGAGTATCCCAAGCTCTAACCTGAGCTGGTTGCCAAAGGATTCGCAAACCCATTTCTGGAGGGTCCACTTGCTGAAATGACATCATCTCATGCTCAGCTCTCCTCTGACTTCCTCAAACACTGACACCAGTGAGTCATCCCAGGAGAGATAAGGTCAGAGGTAGTGTGTCAGGATCATGGAGGCATGCACAGAGTGTAGGTGTCTGTTGGTCTGTCTATCTCACTGCCTGACTGTTTGGTTGTACCAGGTTTGCTATGAAGTCACCACCCCTCGCCTGTTGGCCACTGGGTGACTTGCTCCTTCTGTACAGGGAACTTGTCTCTTTCAGGGACACTGCCAGCTTCTGGTGCTCAACTGAAAACAGCGGGCATTTACCTTCGCCATGTTGGAAAGGTATGTCTTTCTTCTGAGTCTTTTCACAAACACAGTAACTTCTGTGAACAACAAGACATGTGGCCATTACTGATACTATTGCTTCCTGTTCTTAAGTTCCACTCAGGGAAGGGCAGGTGCAGAGGTTAGCTAGGGAGGCCTGTACCCAACTTCTCTGAACCCCAGAAGTCTTCTATGTCCCAGCCTCCCTGCTGCCCTGGCCCTTCCCCTGACCAGCACATTCTGCAGGGATATGTCTAAGGTATCCTTGCCTGCCAGAAAAACACATCAGCCCAGCCCCGCAGACATGCACCAAAGAATTTTTCATTTTTGCCCAAGAACCCTGAGTTTCCTCCAACTTTTCCATCTTTACAGTGCTGTCCTCAGAGAGTAATCCAAAGAAGGGACGAAAGAGGAAACAGAGAGAAGTTCTCTGCTCAAGAAAGAGTCCATCTCTTCACTTGACAAATATTTACAAGGGACACTGCTGCTGTGTTTGCTCTCTGAGTGTTTGCTGATAACTCTTCCCTCCAGGGGCTTGTCTCTCAGGTTGGTCCACAAATGTACACAGGGCCACCCCACAGCAGGGTCAGGCTCCCAGGCAATAGGAGAAAAGGGAGCAGTTCAGAGAGGAACCAAGGAACCAGGTGAGGTGGAGGGGAAAGGTAAGGTTGGAGGGATCCAGTGGGAGGTAGAGTGAGGCTCAGAAAAGGGAGAGTCAGGTATCAGAGGATGAGGTGGGGAGAAGGGGGAGGAAGAAGGAAAGGGGTGAGGCGGGAAGGGAGAGGTCCAGGGAGGGTGAGGTTGAAGGGGGTTAGGTGGGAGGTCTGAAGTGGGAGGGGAGGGATGGGCAAGGAAAGAAGAGACTAATGGAGGGTAAGGTGAGGTAGGAGGGATTGAGATGGGAGGGAGGGTAAGGAGGGAAGGGAGAGGCAAATAGAGGTTAGGGAGAGGCAGGAGGGGGTGAGGTCAGAGGGAAGGGTTGAGGCAGGAAGGGAGAGGCATCAGTTTGCTCTTATTGGCACAACTGTTGGACTGTTTCCACCCAGTCCTGCAGCCCTGGCTATGCTCAGTGCTCACTCTGGAAATCTTGGTCCCAGTAGGACCTGATGGAAATATTCCACTTATGGGGGAGGGGGAGCAGGGATGGAAAAGCCCTCCAGAGGCAGGAACTTCCCAGAGAGAGGAAGTCTAAGGCTTGCTTTGAAAGGCAAGACACACCCCTGAGCTTCTTTCCCAAGGCCCCTTTTACACTTGCCCTCAATTGCCCTCAGCCTCTCCCTGCCCCTCCTCTCACCCACATCAGCAGCTCCTCATGGACACCCTCACCTCGCGCATTTCTTTCAGTCACAGACTCCCTACACCTGTTATCATTCTAAATAGCAACCAGGCCCCTGACCAACCATTCATGTTCTCTGAAGGACAGAGGAAGCAAAAAGGGGGAGGATGTGGGAGAGATAACCCTTGTTAGTCCTATTGGTGGGGCAGGAAAGGGAGCTGGATTAAGAAGATGGGCACTGGGGTCCACCATCTTCCAGAAGCCAATGGACAGCCAGGTAGGGGACCACAGTGATGAGACACGTGGGGCTTCATGGGATGGGGGTGGAACTGATCCTTTCCTCCCCCGCCCCAACAAGACCCCGAGTCACCACCCATGAACTGGCTCCGTGGCTACTGATCGAGTTGCTTACGCCATGATCCCAGAGACTCAGAAACAAATCTCGGAACCCAGCAGCTTTTGGCAGAAATCCCTCAGATTTAATTATTAAGATTTCAGAATTACAAAATCACACGATCATATGCTATTCATAATCAGCAATGGAGGACAGATTGTCTAATGTTGCCTTTTTGGCAGATATGAGTGTTGGGGTGAAATCTCAAATAATAATGTGGTGGGTCTGGTGTTGAAATGTTGAGTGTGATCAAAGTAGAGAGAGAATGGTGTGGAGATCATCTGCCACACAGGTGGGGTAGGGTATGGGATGGGGGGTGTACTGGAGGTTTTGGTGGTGGAGAATGTGCACTGGTGAAGGGACGGGTGTTTCTTCATTGTTTGACCGAGACTTAAACCCAAAAGCTTTGTAACTGCTCTCGCAGTGATTCAATAAATATATATATATATATATATATATATTTTTTTTTTTTTTAAAAGAAGATGGGCATTGGCAATGCTGGAGGCTGGAGGCAAGTGCAGGCATTCTGCATGCAGTGAATATGTGAAAGTACAGATGGAGCAACACAGAAATGCACCATGGTGGGCTGATGTATGTGTGGGGGAGACAAACAAGTGGTATAAAATACACAGAGCCTATGTAAGGCCCGAATTCCACCCCCCCAAAACATCCCCAGCACATACACTCCCGCCCCACGCTGTTGGACATGGCTGGAGGCCCTGACACCACCAACCCTGCCATGAGTGGCCCTTATAAAATACATAAATATCCACAGTTTTAAATATACATGGACAAGAAAGAACGACCTGAGGGCCTGTCCTTCTTTGAGGTCAGGCCTTGTGGGATGTACTATTGGAGGGAAAAGGACCCCATCTGAGAGTCCATTCTGCTGATCTGCTCTCACAGTATTCATTTGTTGTGGAGACCCACCTTTGAGTTTGGAGAGCTGCAAGAGGGCTGGGAAGCCTTCCAAAGCGTTAAGTAGCCACAGCTTAAATTTCTTACTAAATAAGCGGACAGATTTCAGATACTGAATAGAAACATCTTCCAAGAAGTCTCGGAGAAGAACATTCTCAAGTCCCTACAGCAGGTGGGAAAGATACCAAAGTCAAGACACCAGGCAGGTGACAGGCCTCAAAGGCCAGGGATCAAGGGTCATGTCTGTCACAACTCAGAATGCAGCCCCAGCTCCCTGGCCTGAGGGTAGCTCCTGTCCTGCTCACTGTCATATGTTGTGTCAGCAGAATTGAATTTTTTTCCCATCAAGTTTAAGATATTGACGATTGACTGAAAAAATTAAAATTTGGGGGTAGTCCTGAAATGGGTCCAACAAAAGACTTATGGGGTGGACTGAGTCTTCAGTTTTGGGTTAAAGTCTTTAGCTTTTGGGTTAAAAACTGAGAAGCAGCAGTGTTTTTCCTAAAGAGTTAAAATGCAAAACCCAAAGAGATAGCATAGTGGCTTAGGTGCTTGGCCAACCCAGGTTCAATCTCCAGCACCACAATCAGGCCCCTGTAGTTACCCAGAGTGACCCCTGAGCACAGAGATAGGAGAGTGCCCTGAGGACCACAGGATATGACCCCAGTCCTTCTCCCACAAATTAAAATAAAAGCCAAGGTTCATGATTAGCTGAAGGAGAACATATTTCTACAGCAGAAATTATGGCATCCAATGTCTATCTACTCCCTAAATATAGTATTCACTTTAGAGACAGAACTTCATAAAAGAATCTTAGCATTTCCAAATGAATTATTCCAAGTATTCATTTATACAGTCTTATTTTGTTGAAAGTACCAGAGGAAAAAAAGTCTGACTCTGTTTTGGGGTTTACTGGAATCATAAGTCCCCTTATGTATTGACTTTTTTTTTTTGACATGGGGTCACTTAGACTCTTTCAGCATTCAAAAGGGAAAAAAAAGTTCTTTAAGAGAGACATAAAGGATTTGGTCCATCTGGGCCTATATTGACCGCTCAGTGAGCCTGGAGACCAGGAGTCTGCAGAGAAGGAGCTTGAGGCCAATCCCCGCATCTGCTATCAATTTCTGCCTCAAATACACAGGAGTAAACCCCTCCACCTCCCCCCCCCACACACACACAGCTTCCTACCTTGTACAGCTGCACATCATAGCATTTAAAGAGCTGGCATACATCAGGCAATGACATCAGCATGACTGTGTCCTGCTGCAGAGATTTCCAGAAGGAAGTAAGCAAATCTTCCACCTGAGGTAAACCAAAGAACACGTCTCTGAAAACTCATTTTATACCTGAGAAGATGAATCTCCCATCTCAACTCAGCAGCTCCCAATGATAATGGGAGGACTTTCATCCAATCAATCCAGAGCTTTGCCTATCAGAGCCCCTACCAGTTGGATGGGATAATGTGGAACATAATTTTCAGGACACTTTTCAGAAGAAAGTTTGTTTCTGACCACCAGGGGGCTCCTCTTGATTACAATAAGATGAGGTTTGGGTCACAGGCACAAGACAATGGCTTTCAAAAAAAGCTCATTAACTGATGGAATATCTCTATTATTTTTCAGGTCAGAAAGAGATGTAACCAAACAGGCATCATCTTCATCACCAAGACGTACTTCTTCTAAGAACTGTATAAGCAAAAAGGGGACTGGAGTGTTTTTACTAGGAGCCTTCTTGAAAAACCAGACAAGATCTGTGGAGGAACAAAATGGCAGCTACTTTGATTTTCTTTATTTTCACTAATAATGAGTTTTCAGAATCCAAGTGACTGAACTGAGTTTCCAGCTTAGAGACTTGCCTTTCTGGAATTCCCACTGGCTTAGCACAGGGGAATACAAGGACCCACCAATGACTATCATTGGTGCTATTCCCCTGCAGAGACTGTCAAAAAAGTTAGGGCCAATTTTTGAATTACCTGATGATGGACCTCTTACACAAAACCCTATTGTTGGAAACATTTGTAGAGAGACTTCTCTAAAGAGACTAGACAGAAAACACAGCAATGGCTTGGACAGTGCACCAATCCCTTCCCTCTTGGATTGGTGACCACAGTGTGGTCCATGGGGCCTGATGGATCAGAATTAAAAATCAGAAACCATGGGCTCAAGTCTTCTCAATTATTCACCACGATGTTAAGTGTCACCAAGCCTGGCTAAGTTTATCTCAGAAATATTCCTCTGATTTGTCCCCTGTTCTTTTTAATGTCTCTATGGCTGTACCACATGCAGAGTCCAGTATCCTCATCACCCTCTTCACACCAATATGGCGGTCTCTGTCACTGAAACCTTCCAAACAATCACAATCTTATCAAACAATCACAATCTTATCAAACAATCACAATTTCCACAAGGCACACAGGTCCTGTTGGGTGCCAGCAACTTTTCCACCTCCTCTCTGACCTCTCTGTTTTTGAGAAGACAAATCTCCCATCTCGGTCACATCCTGGCAGTCAGCACTGCCTCATTAGATAGCGTCATTGATGTTATATGGAATTCCTTCTCTTCCACATTTTCCGTTGGTCTCAGACTTGCTACAGAGCCAGCAACATAGCTTCCTCTTGGGAGGAAGCATTCTTTAGCCATCTCAGGGCACCCAGAACAGTCTAATCATGCTGCTGTTCTATAACTTGTTATACTGTCTCAGGTGATGGCTTATATTTCTCTTTTTAGTAGCAGACTCTAAATACAATACTGAAGTACTCTTTTAGCACCAGACTATAATTCTTATGGAGAATATATCCTCGTAGTTTCAGAAAGGATACTGGTCACAGGGTATTAAAAATTAAGATAACGACCTTAATTATTAATTATCTCATTACTTTTAAAATTATTTGGTCACGGTCACAGTCCTCCTGTTGTTCATCGATTTGCTCAAGTGGGCCCAGTAACGTCTCCATTGTGAGATTTTTTGTTACTGTGTTTGGCATATTGAATATGTCATGGGTAGCTTGCAAGACTTTGCCGTGCGGGCGAGATATTTTCGGTAGCTTGCCGGGCTCTCCGAGAGGTGTGGAAGAATTGAACCCAGCTCAGCTGGGCCGGCTGTGCGCAAGGCAAACACCCTACCACTGTGCTATTGATAATACTAATTTATTAGTATTACTATCAAATTAGTATTTAATGAGTGAATGCAGGAAGAAAAATGTATTGAGGAACCAGTGTGAATAGAGTTGCATTCTACTGCACTAATGTACAGGGGGTACAGGGACACACTGTAGACATCTGCATTTCTCTCTCAATAGAACATTGATGTGTAAGAAAAACTTTGATTTAAATGTATACTAGATTCCCCACATTTTAATTTTATTTATTTATTTATTCTGCTTTTTGGGTCACTCCCGGAGATTCTCAGGAGTTACTCCTGGCTCTGCACTCAGGAATTACTCCTGTAAGTGCTCAGGGGACCATATGGGATGCTGTGAATTTAACCTGGGTTGGCCGTGTGCAAGGCAAACGCCCTACCCGTGGTGCTATCACTCTAGCCCCCACATTTTTATTTTTATGCTGCAAAAGATAAGATTCAGAAGGATGAAAGGACTAATTCATGTTTTCCACAACCAACTATAGATCAAATTCAATCATATTATTACTCAAGTTAGTTTCCCTCTGCTTCAAAGTCTTGCTTCATTTTTAGTCAGTGGATACAAACAAAATGTTTCTTTGGCATTATTCAGAGTGAATAATATTATTAATGTTTTATGCACAATAGACTAGAGTTAGAATCTAGAAACATACTTGAACTTGTATTTAAAATATAAAGTTATGCCTATTAGCAACAAGGACGATTTCCAAACACTGGTACATGGAAATATCTTCAGAATTCACCAACACACACTAGCACATCAGCACAGTGACATCACAAACATCCCTTTAGGGTGCTTTTCTTAAATATGCATTCTACATGCTTGAATTCTATAGAGAAAATCCTACCCTTTCCAGTTCTTGGTTCCTCACGTTCTGTAAAATGTCTTGACAATAGTTGCAATATTCATCAGCTAGGAAGGCCATCTAGGAAGCATATGAAAAATTATTTCAATTTTCAAGCCGTTTCAAAAAGCAGCAGATCCTCAAGGACTCCTAGAAGCACATAGAGGCTGTTTAGTTCCAATTTCACTATGACAACAACAAAAAAATACTGTGGTTTGGCTCAGAGGCTGTGCCTTTGGGAGGAAACCAGGCCTTGTTATTTTGTGGGGGTTGGCTTTTGGTTTTTAGGGTCATTCCCAGGTGCTCACGGCCTACTCCAAGCTATGCGCCCAGGGACCAGATGGTGCCAGGAATCAAACTTCCGCCTCCTCTCTGAAAAACATATTCTCAGTCCACTGAATCATATCTCCAGCAGGAAATTGCTCTCAGGGATATGGAGTCACATATATGGCTAAGATGGTGAATTTTCATTTTTGATGCCATGACACCTCTATTTCCAGGGTTTATAGAATCTGCTACAAAGGCCACTGATCTTCCTTTATCCCTGATCCCCAGCTTCCCTTTTACATATTCCCCAGACCCAGTTTCTAGAAAATTTATGTTTCTGTTTTGTTTCTCTGTCCAGGGAAGGCCCTCCCACTAGAAGATGACAGAATGGTTCTTGTTGGAGCCTTTCTATTAGGGCAGGGGGAGCAGGCATGAATGTCCTGACCACCTTGGCCAAGCCCATGAATTTGAGTGAAAGAAAGCATTATTCATCCTGCTACTACAATGATCACAAGCAGAATAAAAAGATATCCATTGCCCTACAGGTTTAGGGCATGCAAAGTTAGTGTCTGTGATAGCCCACCATTTTGCAGGAATATTTCTTTGCCAGTTCTTGCTCCCAGAATGGACATCTTCTGAATTCAGACAAAGTTGATTCTCCTGGGTCTGTCTTCACTGGCAAAACATCTTCACACTACAAACCATTTACGGAATAAATTATTTATTTTAAATTGCATGTATATTCTTGCATATAAGCCATGTGAAAATCCTATTGCTACTCAAAGTTAATGTTCTCTATTACTGTTTATCCACACTTCTAGTCAAATGATTGATTGGTCTCATATAAGTTGCTGGGGCAACTTATCCCCTGATTTCATCCTAAACAATACTATCTACCCTTCCTCTCTAATTCTGTGAACATAATTATCAAGGAAAAGTTAGAAATTTATATATCACCCAGATGTATTACTCTTGTCATATGGAAGTATTTTATAAATGTATGATACAAAACTATACAATGCACAAATATACTACAAAATATTATCTATGAATAGTTAATGCTACAAATACATTTCTTCTTTTTTTGTTTTGTTTGCTTGTTTGCTTTTGTTCACACCAGATGGCACTCATGGCTTATTTCTTATTTCTCTACACTCAGAAATCACTTTCTGGTGGGAATCAGAAGACCATAGGGGGTGCCAAAGATTGAACCCAGGTTGTCTGCATTCAAGGCAAGCATCCTACCCACTGCATTATTTCTCCAGCCCCTACAAACACATTTATAATTCCCTTGACAATATAATTCTTCCACCTAAAAGTAATGCCACATGCTACCTGGGTCATCACGCCAACATTTAAAAAATGGTTACTAATATCAGAAATCTCAGGACCTCACTAACAGGGAAAATGATAGGCACCAATTTCTCTTTGGAGGAGCAAACTACAGAATGTTAAAACACTTTCTTTAAGGTGTAAAAGAAAGCATAATAATGTTGAAAAAAAGGAAACTCAACTTCCTTCCTTTGCCATGCAGGTTTTTGTTCTCACAATTAGTCCTGGTCAGAAGAAAAGACGTCAATTTTATTATAAATGATTTCTTTGAGGGTTTTCAATCTTCTTTCAAATAACTTGTTTCCTCACACAGGATGAAGTCATTCTTAGGAGTTGGAAATTGTGCTGCAGAGCTTGCCACACTGCACAAGGATTTTCCTCTTCATTCTTTGAATTTAAGGGCTTGATCACAGGAGTACAGTCCCAAGGTCAGACTTCATCCTCAGTTTCCTTGGCTCAGAGGTGCTTAGCGTCTCACCAGCCTATTGACTCTTTTCTTGCTTAGCAGATGCGTTATGTAGGTCGTCAGTTGTTTTCTGTCCTTGCTTATCTAGGAAACAGTACAGCCTTCCGAAGAGAGGGTGACCCTTAGAACTTCGTGGGATCACCCTTAAGTCTGGCATGGCTTAGCTCCATCCCACACAATGACAAAGCAAGAGAGGTATTATTAGCTCCCCTCCCCCCTCCTGTGAGGTTCTGTATTATCAATTAATACTGTACTGAAGATCAGGTTGATGCTGAACAGTCTTCTCAAAATCCTAATGTCTGCATTACTCTTTCTCTCTCTTTCTCAATGGTAACATTTTGATTTGATTTGAAAATAAAAATACATATTATATGCTTTGCTCCAGCAGGCCCAGTAACATCTCCATTGGAGACTTTGTTGTTACTGTGTCTGGCATATCGAATACTCTCAGTAGCTTGCCGGGCAAAGATGTCACATAAAAATCCTGTCTGCTAACAGGTTTTGAAATAAAGCAGGAGTCTAGCTAATTAAGTCAATACATAAAATGGTGGCACAGGAAGGTGACAACTTCATGTGTTGTTTTCATTGTCTCCTTTTGTCTCTGTTGGTGCTGTTTAATCCTCATTTTAATCATGTTAAGGGCAGGAGAGATGATACAGGGTTTCATCTTGCAGCAGCTGACCCTGACTGGATGTCCAGTACCACAAAGTCTCCCAAGGACCACTATGAGAGACCCCTGAGCACAGAGCACCACTGTATATGAGCCAAACCCTCATGCCCAAATTAATTTATTTTTTAAAAATAAAACCACTTTAGGTCACTGGCTTGACTGTCCCCTGGACAGCAGGGGATGATGATGCTTCAGACAGTCATCAAAGAGGAAGTGGTTATTTCATGATACTCACTGATCATCAGCAGTACTTCTATTAGGAAAAAACTAAGGACTCTTCAATTCCAACTCTGCACTAATCTCACATACCTACCACATCCTGTCCTTGCTCTGTCCTCCTTCCTCTCCAAAGCACATCTTCCTGGCACTCACTCACTGGTGCTCTCCCACACAGATGCAGCTGTTATCAGAGCAAGTTGTTCTCAAGTGCTATACTGAAACCTGTGAGACCAGAATCCCTGCTGACTGACACTGCTTGTGATTCACACCTCACAGGTCTGTGTAAACCAGGGGAGTCCATAAATCTATCACTGTCACCAGCTTCCCAGTGAACCTCACTAACACTCAATTTGAGAATAGCAGCTGTAGACAAGACAGTTCTCTGTCTAACTCTAGCAAATTATTACCTTTCAACTTGGCAAATACATCTGTTTTACCTGTTCGAGAGGAGAGGAGTCATCTGGCAATATTGTATTAAAGACACTTAAGAAATCATTATAGATGGAATGAGAAAGTAAACTTATTATTAACAAAACAAGAAAGAAAATTCATGCTTGCCTGAAGTTAGCTCTATTTGACTTCTTTCTGTTAAAAGAACTGATCTTTTAGGGGGGAAAAGTATTTTAAAAGGCACAGACCAAATTCTTTTGTGAACAATGAAGCAAACAGAAATAGAATGTGAAAGTATGAAAAAAATCACAAACGTTTGAATTTCTGCAGGACAAGGTTTTCAGGAAGGAATAGGAGTGCTTCTCTTTCTAGAGAAGTAATTCAAAGTAATTCGAAGAACCTCCGGCTCCAGGCACATCTCTTTGATTCCACTGTTCTTCCTGCATTAACATATGCCTCAGAGGCCTGGGCCCTATGCAAACAAGATGAGAACGCTATTCAGGTCTCCCAAAGAAGAATAGAAAGAGCTATGCTTGGAATATCACATTTCACTCAAATGAGAGAAAGAATCCGGAGTTCTGACATCCCTCGACGATCAAGAATCAGGGACACTGTCTCATTTGCCAAGGTGTCGAAAATCAGATGAGCTGGTCACGTAATGAGATTTAAAGATGACCACTGGACTAGAGCTGTTACCGACTGGATTCCACGGGATGTCAAAAGACTGCGTGGCTGCCCACCTACCAGATGGTCAGACTTCTTCCTCAAGATCATGAACGATCAGTTTGAGGCCCTTCATGTTCCCGGAGCGAACAGATGCCATTGGGCTACACTAGCACGCGACAGGGACAAATGGAGACGTTACTGGCGCCCGCTCGAGCAACTCGACAACTAACGGGAAGTTAAGAGATTAAGTGAAGTGAATTCAAAGACATGACAATGGAAAAAAATGTAAGTGATCCTATTTATATTTTCTGAGTATTTTATATAATTTGGGGTTTTGACATTGCAACCGCTCTGAGAAATGTCACTGGGATTATTATCCATACATTCCACCAACTCTCAGTGAGCAGAACTATGGATTGGCTCCTAGAGATGGTATGGAGAGATCAAATCACTGTCTCTCCCTCCCTGAGTGTCTCTGCTGATTCTTCTGGATGTTTTTGTCCTTCTTGAATCCTTAAAGTCATGGGTCCCAAAATGATCTCCCCAAAACAAATGTACCCTATCATTCTCTTTTTAAAGGAGTGTTCTCATCTGAATCCTACAATCTTTGAAAGAAATTCAAATCCCTCGGTTGTCAGTGACAAGCTGCCCTCCGTCTGGACCTCACTCTGAGTCTTCTGCTCTCCAACACCCTCCACTAGGACACCTCATTGCCTACATACCTCCTGGCACAAATAAAGGCCACACATCCTCAAGAATAAATCCCGGGAACCCAGTGAGGATTAGCTCAAGAGCTAGTGTAGCAGGCAAAATATTTTTTCCCTAAGTTCACATCCTAACGTTCATAGCAAAATAGACTTTGCTGATGTGGTTATGGTTAACGACCTAAGTCAGACAACAGCCTTGACTATTCAGTTCAGCACCTGTAATCATAATTATCCTTAAAAGTGGAAACCTTTCCATCTACCAAAACCCAGGGAGATGCAGTTAGGACTCCACCTGCCTTTGCTGACTCTGATGGTAGAGAAAGGGGCCATAAGGCACAAGGCAGCCTCTAGGAGCTAGAAAGGGAACAGATTCCCCCTAGATCTTCCAAGGAATGAAGGTCTGCTAACACTTAGATCATAGGCTGGTGAGAATCATGATGGACTTGGGACTGTCCCCACAGTGACATAGTAAGTTTCTGTTGCTTTAAGTCATAAAATGTATGCTGATGTGTTACTCAAGCAGTAGGAGACACCAAAGGCTCTTTTTCCACAAAAACTTCTTAATGCCTCTGGTCTACCAGAGCCTCCCTCCCACTCGCATTTCCAGAGTCCTCCTCTGCCCCCCAATAACCTGCACTGTGACTCTGCAGAAGCTGCTTTCTGTCTATGTCCCCAACTATAACACTGGATTCTATTCAAGCATAGTCATGGGTGTCTTTTGTTTCCCTGTTTGTTTTTTGGGGCCACACCCAGAAGTGCTCAGGGCTTACTCCTGGCTCTGAGTTCTGAGATCACTCCTGGTGGTACTCAGGAGACCATATGCAGTCTTGGGGATTGAACCTAAATTGGCTTTGTGCAAGGCATGGACCCTGCCTGCGGTATTACAGCTCCAGACCATGTTTGTCTTTTCTTTTACAACCCATTCAGACCCTCAAGATAGACTATCACAAAACAAGGTTTTTAAATGTTTTCTATTTAGGGCCAGGAATAGTGCAGGGGTTAAGGTGTGTCTCTTGCATGTTACTGATATGGTTTGATCCCTGGCACTGCATTGTCTCCTGGTCATTGGAGGTGCACCCCTGAAGGCCCCCAGCATTCCCAGCAGTGCTGTAGCCTCAGGCTCTCTCATAGGACCATCAATTTGAGTGTCTGATAATCGTGGGGTAAGAGCCTGTGCCTCCTGAGGACAACTTTGTAGACACTCTCCCCTCCTTCCCCAAAAGGTTATCCACTCACCCTATCAACAAGACAGTATCAAGTATTTTCATGTCTTCTTGGCCAACTAAAGTAATAGTCAACTTATGATATCATACATTAGCTATGAATAGTTCTGGTGTCCTAATTCAAAGAGCTATTACTGTTACATAGCAACACTTTCACACAAACTTATTGCTAACAATTTATGCAGCTTTTGAAATGACAGTGGGGAAAGTCACAGTTAAACAGCTGTCATGCTGGAAGACAGGGTCTTTGTCTGTACCAGGTCAGTAAGTGGCTCCCGGTGAAGGATCAACATTGGGGGAAAGGGCAGTTGTCCATGAGAACACATGACATACAGAGAAAGTCTCATCTACTTGTGAGCATTTCAGGTTTTATTGATCAGACTCACTGTTTCTTCTTGCTGGATAAGGCTGCTAAAATTAGGGGATTTTTCAAAGGCAGCGACATCTCCACTGTGACAGAACAGATAACAGAGAAATAATTTTAGTTAGACACCTGTTTCTGAGACCAAGAATAGTTTCTTCTGCTGCATAGTTATTCGTACAGGGCTCAAGTTTTATTTCAAAATTCCCCTCTGTTTCTATCCACAAATGATTTCAATTTTGGAATATCACTTTTTTTGAAAGTTCATTGTTGTAACTAGGACAGCCATTTATTTCTATTAAAAGGGTCATTTTCTTCAGAGGCAAGTGTCTAATGTGATCATGAGTAGAGTTTATTCCTGTGAGAGGGGAAAAAAAACCCATCATGTAAATAAAGTCTCATACTTTCAGATATGGGGCTTTGAAAACAATAACCTCCTCCACATGGATGTTTGCAGGAGTTTGTCCTTCACAAAGCAAGGACATTGAGAATTCATTCGGAGATACAATCCCTATTCACCATGCCACTTGGCTCCATACATGATCATGGAGAAAGCTGTACATCACAGAGAGCAGATTCTTTTATTTCTGCTGTGTTCTTTATTCATTCTACATCTTAGTAATTGTTTTAATTGCTTGTTATTATTATTTATACAATGTGTATGCAATGTGGCACCTTTCCCCATTTAGTTAGTTGTGGGCATCTGAGAAATTGAGAGCTCAAAATCTCCCCTTTGCACAGGAAATATGCTTTCTCTGAATGCCAGGAAAGGGGGGTGGGGGATATTGCTCCATGCCCGTGCTGTTTTCAGGGCTGTCGCTGCTCTGTTGGCTTCAACATTGAGACCTTACAGCTCTGTGAAAACTCAGTAGACTCTGGAATGGATGCCAAAGGTCTACTGCACAGGAGTGATGTGGGACGCAGCCTGGTGAGCTCTCTTCCAGCTCCTTCCACTAGGAAAACTGTCTGGTATCATCAGATTAATGTTTGCAACTGACACTTCATCATAAAAGAAAGGACAGTTCGGTTGGGAGTGTGGCTTAGCAGTAGAGCACAAGGCTTGCAGATATGAGGCCTGGGTTCAAATGCAGGCACACACAAAAGTAGGTAAATAGATTTAGAGTCTGGATATCAATCAACTAGATGATCACTTTGTATCTTTCAGTAAGAGATGTTATCACAATGAAAAATGTGATGTTTTCCCTTCTCACCTCCTGCTCAAAGGCAGTAGGGTTTGGGGACATGGTATCTGATTCACGTAGAGGAATAAATTGGATGATACCTGCATTGATGGATGATACAAGCAGAGCCAAAGTTAAAGAATTAAAATGCCTTAAGAGTTCTATTTGTCATTTCTCAATCAGAACTCAGGGAAGCATGGACAAAAATGACATTTATACCTTTGCCACACAGATTCTGGGGATTATATAAATAAAACTTCAAACAATAAATAATGCCTAGAATGAATGAAGAACATATCAGAAATGTGAGCTCACTGATTAAAGGTTAATATAAATGAATTTAAATTAAAAAGGTAGTCATAATTTTTTCAGAGATGTTTTAAAAATGTCTTGTGAGATGTTTTTCAATTTAATTGAAAGGAAATCAATTTCTCTAAAATTCCACATTGTGTAAGTATTCTAAGTCTAGTATTTTTTAAAAAAATAATGTAAGACCATGGTATAAATATATTCACTTTCATTGACCCACCTATCTTTCCATTTTTCATTCATCCACTCACCTTGCCATCTGTCCATCTATCCATTCATTCATCCATCCATCTACTCACCCATCTCTCCACCCAATCACACATTTATCCACCCACTCATCAACCCACCTATCTATCCCTTTATCTATCCATCCACCCACCTATCCATCCACCCACCCACCCATCCATCAATTGACCCATCCATCCATTCACGCATCCATCCATTTTCCCATCCATCCATTCTCATCACTCATCAGTATTTACAGTGAGTCAGGTGTTATGATCATAGTTATGATCACATCATACAAGGCAAACATTCTCAAAGAATAGTTAAAGCTCATAGAGAAGAAAAGTGCTACACAAATAATTGTCAGTGGAGATAATGACAGTTAAAGTGCTAGGAAAACCCAGACTGGAGATCCATCCATCCTAGTATCTTATTACATGCCAACAAATCAGGATTTTGTGATCGGTTAACCAGTTTTGGCAGGTACTCATCACAGCACCACACTTGGACAGGCCTTGTCAAACTTCCCATAGTGACAATAATTTTCAGGAGACATTCCTTCTGATCCTCTAAATTTAGAAACTAAATCTAGTCATTGACTTAAAAGAACAATGAGGGAAACCCTACACCCAGTTGCTCACCTACCTGCCTCCAACCCTGGCAGTTTTAAAAACCAACTGACATGCTCTTAAATTATTTCAAAATTGGAAATTAAACACCCAAGCTTCTACTATCTTTTCTTAGCTGAATGTTTAATTCAATAACCATTAAAAGGAGGATTGTGCTACTCGGGGAAACTTGATAGTAGCATTCTCACCTTCTGGGGGGGGGGTGGTATTTTTGTAGCATTTAATTGGGGGGATTTTAGCTACTGAAACAACAATAACAGAAAAAAAAACTGTTAACCTTGTGGAGAGATTCTGTCATCTGTTTAAAAACAGTCCTAGCTCCACCCATCCAGTGACAGACAGCTTACTAGTTCTAAGGAATGAGAGGCTGTCTCTTCCCACCTTTGGCATGCCTTATGATTTAAGTCATGGCTCATAGCATGGGTCAACATGCAGGTTTAGTGAGATCCTACTTATTGAAAAAAAAATTACCTAGTTTTGAACATTAAATACAAGTAAAGACATGTGAAAATATGCATGAGTTAGAGGAGAATAGATGATGATAAGAGAACCAGCTGGAGAACCGCCCCATGCAAGAAGGGGTGGGGCAGGGCATGAAGGTCCAGGCAAGGACTTCAATAACCCAAAGATCTGGTGGACTTGGCTGAGTGATTACTAAAGCTAGGGACACCTCCCACCGCCCCCTCCCCGCACTGGGATCTACTACCCAGGATGATGGGAAGTGAGGGGGAGGCCAAAGCAACCTTAGAAGTGAGGTTTAAGATGGTTTCTCTCTAGGTGCCTCATATTCTGAGAGTCACTGCCCTATGTCATTTCCTGTGTGGTTCTCATTCAGGACTTCGAGATATATGTCATGTTGTGATTTAATGCACAGTTGAGGTTTCAGAAACACATATCAAACACCCAGAGCAGGCCATGATATGAAGGCAGGGCTTCCAGTTCAAATGGAAGCCTTATTTCACAGTTCTCACAGGCCAGAGATAGGTACTTGGTGCAGGGGAGATGATAGAAAAAAAGGCCTTAACTGAGGCTGCAGGAGGGAGACTAAGGTGATTCCGCCTGGTGAAGTCTGTGGGGTCCTTGCAATCTGCCCTTCTAGCTTTGGAGGGCCCAAGTTAGGTGGGGCCCAGGATGTCAGGATTTCACCCCTAGAGAAAAGGTCAAAGGGCCAAGAAGGGCAGGAAGGAGCAGCTGGGAATGGAGGAAGAGACAGATCATAAAACACAGAAGATTGAAATCCTCTCAGTGCCAGAAATTGGGCATCCTTGCCCAGTTCTGCCACTAATTTGATATGTGGCCGTAAGCCAGTACTGAAGCTTTGAGAACATCAATTTTCCATCCCTGTAAAGGAAGAGGCCAGAAACTGATACCTCCCAAGATTGTTTCCTATTTTCGAGCTTAAGACCTTTCCTGAATCTGAATCCAGGTCCTCCAGGGTCTGTATGATGATCAGAAGATTTTTTCTGAGCTTCCACAGGGAGACTGAAGGAAACTCTGTCTCTACTAGGGTCCTGAAAACTGCCCACTTTCCCTGTAGAGTGAACATGCTTTATTTTAATTAGTGTTTATGATCAATTTAGCTACAAAAGGGTTCAGCGTAAAGAGGACTGAGACATGACTATATGGCACACAGTGCTTCTCCCAGCCCTACCCCCACCTCATAAAACCTTTCAAATGAGTATTAGCTTAATATGCTTTTGGCATTTAACTTCCTTTTAGTCTAACTGCAATTTGCATTCACATTCTCTGGTTTTGACATCACTTGTCATTAATCTAGACTTTCATTTACATCATTTTGGCAATGTAATTTGCCCTCACAAATCGCTCTAACAGCAGTGAAATGATGTGAAGCAATTACAAAGGTAAGATGATAAAAAAATGTAATAAAACCTAATTCATGTACCATATCCATTGAGTGTCAGATTTCAGAGCAAAGGTGCTTCATCTTCCAATTATTAAAGAACCTAATTAAAATCTTACTCAAAGCACAAGAATTATTTTTTTTAGTTTTGTTTAGAAGAATACTCTTAATGACAGTTTTAGATATGAAGTTAAAAATAGTAAACACACATATTGAAGTGAAAACATATATCATCAAATTGCAAAATCATTTGGGGATCTACTACCCATCAGTGCTCAGGACTATGAGGTTATCAGGGGACTATGTAGAGCTACAATCCTAGATTCCCATGTGCAGAGCCTATGCTCCAGCCCATTGAGCCATCTAGACTGCTAAAGCATTTATTTAATATAGTCTTTCTTACACTAATCACTAAAATATACTAAGCACCACCAAGTACTTAGTTCTTCAACCTTCATTCTCACACTAACCATTAGGTAGGTTGATAATAATTATTATGCTCAATCACACATAGGTCAAAAAGAGACAATATTCTGAGATTGAAATCTGTCTGGGACTTCAGAGCCTCTTCTCAATGCTGACTCTGCTATTTTGACTTTTAAGTTCAGCATGGATGTGACAGAAAAAAACAGCACTCCCAAAGAAGACAAATGAAGATCAAGCTTTTGAAACTTAAAATGGAAAAGAGCAATTTCTGAAATTGGTTTGCTGGGAACTGTGGGTTCATTTTTTTCCTCATGAAATAGGTAGGTAGATTGGTGGTATTGGTTGTAGGGGTGGATTGGTGGCTGGGAATGAAGTCTCAGAAAGTAATAAAACCAAGATGGGTTTCAGTCATACAATGTTCCAACACCCATCTCTCCACCAGTGTACATTTCCTACCA